AATTTTCAATATAACTTTATTTTTGTGGGTGCGTGTCATGTAAACAATGAATTTTTTTTTTTTTTATTACTGTCCTGTTGATTGTAGTATGACAAAATAGGTATTTATCTTGACTACCCTAAACATCCTTGAATGTCTATCCCTAATCCCAACCATTACATCTATTCAGATGGTGCAAGCAAGTCACTTAAACTTAATTTGAATTCATTTGAGGTGAAATAAACAAAAACTTTGTAGAAAAGAACTCAACTTGATTGTGTGTGTATTGTCAATATTTAAAATATGCCCATTTATTAGTATTTTTTTTTTTTTTTTTTCTTGTAAAGTTTTAAAATTGATTGAACTATATTCATGTTTTAAAAAAGTGGGAATATTTACTTTTGTGCTATCAATGACTTGGCCACAAAGCCTATTCTTAAATTGCTGAATTAATTCCTACTGTCAGCTACCAATTGGAAAGCTTGTATTAGTCTTGGGGCATCCACCAAAGAGTAATGCATATCTGGTCTAAAAAATTTTAAATTTATTTTTTTGTTGAGGGAGTGACATTCAGAAAGGACCATTAAGGAGAAGTATTTGTGATCTTATTATTTTAATAACTTATTCTTTTTATTAAAATCAATTATTTTATCTTGTAAATCACCGATCCAATTCCTAAATGATATTACATTCACTTTTTTGCAAAAATATCATAGAATAATATCAATGTTTAAAGCAAGGATCAAAATACTGATTTTTAACTCCCCGTTTTCCTGTCAAGGATATGTAAAGTAAATTTGGTCTCTCATTTTGAACTTTAAGGTGGCTGTTAACCTGTGTGTGTATACAAAGTGCTGTCCCCAAATTAGTGGATTTGATCATGGAAAAAAAACTTTACTTAACTTTCATTGTCTCCTACAGAGCAGGGCTGTGGCATCTGTAACACTATACAGTTGAATTTACATTTTATATAAAAAGTCTTACATTATTGAGTTTTTTGTTTTCTTTTCTTTTTTGTAGTTATTTTGTTTTTGCAAAACTATATATAAAAAAAATCTTACCATTTTTAAAGAATTTAAAATTTTTTTGTTATCTCTTTTACATACTGTAAAAGATTATGTAAAAAGTCTTACATTATAACATTTTTATTTTTGTTATTTCTTCTATATCCTTTCAAAGATTTTGTCTCTAATTCTGTTAGAAAATAATGAAGAATGAATAGGTAAAATATAAAAACCACAATATCTTTTTATTCTTTGATATAGATCAGTTATGATATAGGCCTTCTCAAGTTAGGAGTGTATGCATAGGCTTTGAAATTTGTAAACCACGATCACTTAATTACATAAAGAGAAGTTAGTTGGAGGTGCCAAAAATAGAAGTTGGTAGGTTTTGTGCTCCAATTCCACAGCCCTGCTACATAGTAAACTGTTGCACACTGGCTCATAAAGGAAGCCATAAAGATTTTAGTCTCTAATTGGCTGCTTTTGATGTTAAATTGTGTGTGGAATGAAATCTTGTTAACAAATTCCTGACGAGAGAGAATCCTTTATCTTTTAAATAACTTTAGAATTCTCATCTCTTGTTCTTTGAATAATTCAATAAAATGTTAACCTTGAAAAATCATGCAATTAATGTACTTAGGACAACTCTTTAAACAAATAACTTCTTCCTTAGCCAGGGTACCAAGTAAGGTACCAGGCACATGGCTGATAGATGATGTCAATTTAGTTCTGAAATTTCAGTAAGTACCTAGATACTAAAATAGTGGTACCAAATGGTGTTGTAAAATTTTAATTAATTTGATAGTTTAATTTGATTCATTGTTTCTTTGATATGTTTGGGCAGAGTAGGTGCCTGCAATATTTTTTTTTTCATTATTAACAGAAATGAAAATAAATCTAGGCTGACTGTTTCTCCATTACAATGGTTAAAGTGTTACTGTTTCTAGTAATGCAAATACAAGTATGCCTGAATATCTTGTCTTCAAGAATATTGAAATATTAAGGTAGTGAGAGGGGATCTTTTTCTGTCTTGATTTTTTTTTCCTCTTCATTGTCATGTAACTGTTTCAAAAAAACAAAAAAAAAACAACTTTAATTATTCTAAAAACTTAGCTTGTTCTGGAATATTTATTTATTTTTAATTATAGGTGCTAGTAGTATAATAAAATCTGTATTAAAATATTGAGGAAATATTCATTTTGATCCATTCATTCTTTAAACTGACTTCCCTACCCTGCAGCTATTATTCTAAAATTTGTTTTTAATGCAAGTAGTACAGGTTGTGACAAAAGAAAAAAAATCTAAATTAATAAATTTACATTTTCATAGTAACTTATACTATACTTATTCTGTATAAGTATTCTGCTCTATGATTCATTTTCTACATAAAAAGTATTAGTACATTCAAACTATTTACAATAAAATTTTCTTTAAAATAATTATTACCAAAATCTGCCTTGCATCGTAACTAAATTTTCCATGTTTATCATTAAATTCTCCCTTGTTTTCATTTTAGTTTGAGTAGAAAATGTAGCCCATAAATGTTTCATTCAAGTTTTTTAACAAAAAATATAAATTTTCTTGCTTTATTAAAATTGATTATTATTTATTTTTTATTTTTTTAAAAAAAAAGAAAAAATGACCAGGACAAAAGACATGCTCATTAACAGGCTGCATAAAATCCAAGGATGGAATGCTAGAGAAAAATACTTCAGCACTGGAATGAATATATTGGAGATCTCTTCCACAATGAAAGAGATCAACTGGCAATACACAAATACTGAGGGGCCAGAAATACTAAAAACTGAAGTGGAAGCTGCACTGGCCAAATTGAACAAAAACAAAGTGGCAGGGCCAGATGGAATTGTAATATAGATGCTGGCAGCCTTAGACAATTTAGGCATAGGCAAGATTACAGAAATAATAAATTTACAACAGTGATGATATACTGGAATACCTAAGATCTATTTTCATAGCACTGCCTAAGAAACCAGGTGCAAACAAATGTGAACTTCACTGAACAATCAGCCTAATGAACCACGGCAAAACTAATCGTCTGAAGTCTGATGAATAGAGAATGTGGCAGAATCAGGTCAGAAATAGTGCGAGAACTGTGTGGGTTTGTCAAACACAGGAACAAGGAATGTGATATTTATGCTCAGAATGTTACAGAATGAGCAATACAAATGCAGAAGGATGTGTACCTGTGTTTTATATACTATGACAAGGCATTTGACAGGATATCAAAAATATGTTGGAGCTGCTCAGCAACCTTTATATATTCGGGAAATAACATTAGAAAAATCTATACTGGCAGCAAACCGTCTGCATATAGATAAAAAATGAGTTCAGCAGACATATAAAGGTGCGTAAATGTAGCTTTTCACTGGACTTATTCAGCCTATGTATAGAGTAAGGCAATTCTGAGAGAACTAGAAAATCTACCAGGATTAATCATTGGCAGCCACAATCTTAACAATATAAGATATACTGATAACACACAGAAAGGAAACGCCCCCCCACAGCAGGTAGTTAAAAAGAGCGAAAAGGAACTAAGCATATACAAGATGGAATGCGTGATCATCTGCAAAACGATGAACCCAAAATGCAAATTACAAGTCGGGGATAGAAATTTAAATATCTGGGAAGTGTTCTAACGGGACGGAAATTACGATACTGAGACCTGAACGAGACTCATTCCAAAAGCTAAGCAGGGTATGAAGACAGGTAAATTTCGTTGAAAAAAAGAAAAGAGTACTGAACTGTTACGTGATATGTCCTGTATGGCAGTGAATGCTGGACAATGTCCCCAAAGATGGAGATTTGAAGCAACAGAAATGTGTTTCTACAGAAGGAGGTTAAAGATACCATGGGCTGAACATGTGAGTAACGATGAAGTTTTGGTGAGACTGAAAACAAAGAGGAAATTTATATTTAACATCAGGAAGAAGCAGTAAAAATTTATGGGGCTTGTAATGTGGAAGGAGGGCTTGGGAAATCTGATACTCTCAGGTTGGATAGTGAGAAAGCGAGACAGAAGAAAGCAATGCATAACATACTTAATGGGCTTGAGCAAATGGATTGCAGAACAGTTTGGGGGAAATAACAAAAAGACAAAATTTATTAAAAACTACAAGGAATAGGATGATGTGGAGAGCCATGATTGTCTACGTCCTGAAGGGACACAACACATAAAAAGAGGACTAGATTTTCTCATGAAAATTAAGCCTTCAATTTTCATTTTTCATTTGGGTTTCATTTATCAGTTTATAAAGAAGTGTTTAGGTTTGGTTTATAGTTTTGTTAGTGTGTGCTCCTTTTTATTAAAAGCTTGTCACTTTTTATGAGAAGCAAATATTTTTTTTATTCAAAAAGAAAATAGTTTCTTTTAGAATAAATAAAATTTTAATTAAAAATTTTGCATTATTTTGGCATTGTTCCCAAAAACCTAACCAGTTATCCCAGATTAATACTCCATTTTCTCCCAGAATGTTAATTTTGAAACCTGGTTGTGTTCTGAAATGTTACAAGCATTGAGCTTAAGATTTTACAAATTGTAGTGCTTAATTAATGTAAATGTAGTGTCAGTCTGGATTATGTGTGAGAATGATGAAAACTTATTGAAAAGTTACAGTAGGTGTTTGTCATACAGATAAACCTCTAAAGTTCCAGAATCATGTTGGATTAGCCAATGTCATACAAAGGTCATTTTTTCACTTACTGTATTCTTACCAAGTGGTTTTTTTTTTTTATATATATATATATCTCCCTCCAATTACTATCAGTTGATAAAAAAATAAAATGTAAATAAAACGCTTTAAACCAGTTTTGTTTGAATTTCAAGAAGGTAACACCATTGGATCTGAATAAAATATTGCTTTACTTATTCCTTACTTTTTTATGGACTAGTAATCTGTTCTTATATATAGTGTGTGTCTTTATATTTGCATATAAAACTTTGTTAATTTTGTATGATTTTTTTTTTTTTTTTTGATGGTCTGTTCTTTTTGTTTTAAGGGAGCCTCGGCAGATAATCCTCTCAGTAAAATTGATGCCCTCATCACAGCTGTTGGTGTTGATGAGGAAGTGGTTTATTCCAAATCCACAGCCCTACAGGTGAGTTTAGCTTCCCAATTTTAAGTTTTGGTTAGGAAGTGGTTTTTAGAAAATTAAAAAAGTTTTTTTTTTTTTTTTCACCCCCAAGACAATAAAGCAATTAAAATGCAGGGGTTACTGAGTGTGAGAGAATATAAGAAAAATATTAAGGAGTAAGAACAGTAAAAGTACAGGAATTACGATAGAAGATAATGATTTACATTGCAATTAAATTTTTGAAGGTCAAAGTTAACTGGGAAGCAAGAAGCTGGAAGAGAGTTCAAGCAAGAAGTGCAAGAGAAGAAACTTAGTATAGAACTTATGGTTACATCTAGCTGTTTCAACTGTAAAATGAATGACATGCCACCACTCTAGTACTGTGCTTAAATTCATAAGGTCTAGGTACTATAGAGGAAAGCTCATCAGAACAATTACCATGAAAGTATTTATAAAAAAAAGCAGTGAAGTTATGCTATAGTGGTAGGAAGGTGAGGACCAATAACATTGTAGATTTTTTTGATTTTATATAAAATCTTTAAATATATAGCAGATGCCCCAAACCAGACATTGCAGCAATATTCAATGCCTAGACAAATGATGGACTTGTAAATGTGCAAGAGATTCTGTCAAGAAAAATTGTCTAGCATGACACTGTGAACCAACTTTCTTAGCAGCAGACCAAGCAATTGATTGGATTCAATATAATCTTTCCACTTGATGTTGGCAGAAAATGCTAGCCCAAGTGGGTGCAATGAGTCACTCTCCTAGAGGTTAGCATCAGCCATGCTGATGAAGGCAAAAAAAAAAGAAAAGGTTTTCTCAGATGAATAAAAGAACAGTTTCATTTTGGAGGCGTTAAAATTAACAAACCATTCCTTGCCCCAGTGAGCAAATTGTAGATCATTTTTTTAAAATCAGTTGCCAATTTTACCTTATCCAACTGATCAGACTTGGTATTAAGACAGGAGTAAAATAGTTGTCATCAGAATAGATCCAGAGTTGAGAACATGACCTCAGGAAGTCTGTGGGAACATCTGCATTAATGCAAAAAGGATCTATAAGAGTGGCCATTCAAGACCTTCATTATGTGATTGTATAAGAAAGATTAATTTAGTTTGCCTTTCAATTTGTGAAGAAGACCAGTATGCCAAACCCTGTCAGATATCTTTGAGATATCTAAAGCAACAGCCTCAGCTTCACTTTTCTCATTGAAAGCTTGATACTCTTTCAGAAATAATCATTAATACATCAGCAGTTGACCTAGAGAAGGGAAAAACATTGTTTGTCTGAATGAAAATCCTGCAGAGTAAGATGCTTAACCAATTAAGAGTTAATTAGAAATTCTAGTATTTTCCAAAAAGAGAAGGCTAATAGGCCAATAGCTATAAGGATCAAATGGTTTGCCTGAATTCTTAAAGACTGGAACTATAGAAGACAGTTTCCAACAAGCAGGAAAACAAGAAGCAGCAAGGCATTTATTGTAGAGTAGGATCTAGTTCAGGAGCACATTTTTTAAACACTATTGCAGGGATACCATCAAGTCCACATGCTTTGTGGGTATCCAGTTTAGAGATGATAGAAACCATGGATGGAGTCATATGCATATTACAGAACAGACTCTTTTACAAGTGGAAAACCTGGCACACATACTCCAGATGAGTCAAGAGTAGAATTTGAAGAGAATTTATGAGCAAAACATTTTGTTTTATTGGTAGATTTTAACACCTCAAATTGAGTGAAGAGAAGGCTTACTCTTATTTAACACACTCTGAGCAGCCAGTAGTCACAAGAACCAAATTTGTTAGAGGCTATATCATACCTCATTCTGTCAGCTGACCAAGACTTGTCCTCTTTGAAGACCTGTTTACAGTTATTATGAGCAGACCTAAAGAGGTGTCTTGTAATCTGAACTATCATGCTGGCCCAGGTGGAAAAAGTGATTCCTGTGGGATATGGTGACTAAACAGGCAGTTGTTACACCTGGTATTTCCAAGAAATCCTTGATGCTGGCTTTAACACAAGAAGAAAGCTCAATGGAACAATTCTCAATAGGAAGGTTAAGAATCATTCAAAAGGGTATATCAAAGAAAGTCACAAAATGAGACCTAATCAGTACATGGTAACAGAAAGGAGTTATGAATAGGGTGTTCCTGCTTAATAGAGGACTCAAAATATCAAGATACTATGTGATCTGACTTGTCAAGAGGACAAAGATGTAATGCTTAACAAGAGCTAGGAGAGGAGGTAAGGAACAAATCAAGTAAAAGAAGCATTTTCATCAGTATCATCATTATTATGGAAAAAAAAGGAGTATTGTTATATTTTTTTTTTTTTTTTTTTTTAAAAAAAAAAATTGAGAATATTGAAACAAAATCAGTAAATGATGTAAGTCTAAATATACATTCTTAACTTTCGTAAAAAGTCTAATACTGCTGCTTCAGTTCATAAAGATTTTGAGGAAGTAATCGAATAATGCTTGTATGAAACTGTATGGCATGTCAAACTTAGGGCATATGGAGGGCCACATTGGTCATATCTGCAGTTTGAGGGCCATACCTGCTTACAGTCATACATTAATCACAGTGGTAACTAAACTTTAAATACAATACAAGGTAGTACAATTTAATCATTTTTATGTTGTCCTGATTATTGACATCACTTTAGACAAACTATTGATATATCAGGTTGGAATGTCTGTGAAGATCCTACTTTGATCAAAGATGACAAATGTGCATCAGTTAATCTGGTTCTGTGAGACATTTTGTGGCCTTCATAAATGAAAATAACTGCTCACAGACCTATGTGTAACCAAACATCGCTATAATCTTTGTAGCAAATTTTCTGAAGCTCTTAATTGTCTGAGGAAGGTATGAAAAAATCTGGGTACCCCTACTTCTAAGTACTTTCCCTTTGAGTGTTTAGTCAGTCTGCATTTCTAGTAGTTCCATCTGTAGACTTTCCTCTGCCTGAGCAACATCAAAAGTGAATGGTGCTGAGAATAATGCAAACTGATCTTCACAAGATGAAAAATCACAAAATCTTTGTTGAAATTCCTTTGACAGCAATTTCAGGTAATTGTCGTACTTAGCAAAGATAAATACAGACTTGGTATTGGCAGTTTTGTTCAGCTCCTTGCACATAGGAAAATGAATCAAGTTTTCATGTGACAATTGGGACTTCAATAAAGCTAATTTTGCAATGAAACACATGATCTAATTTTAAAATCTTAGAACATAAGTTCTGTTGATGAATTATACAGTGAAAATACTTGAATGTTGAATCTGGATATGTTTTCTATTTTTGTACCTAACTTGGCAGCAACACCATTATGTATCCCAACCATATTGGTAGCACCAACAGTAGTTTATTCAAATCAAGGCCATACTCATGGAGAAGCTGTTCAACTTTCTCAAAAATGTCCTGGCTTGTTGTATCATGCATTGGGACAAGTTCAATTCTTCATAAATTTGAAATTCATTGTCACAAGCCCTGATGAAAACAGTGAGCTGTGCTATTCCAGCTATGTCAACAGTCTCATCCAGAGCAATAGAAAAATGTTCAAAACTTGATGATATAGTCTTCAACTGTCGACTAAAATCACCTAACATTTCATCAATCCATTCGGCAACAGTGTTCCTGCTTAATGAAATGTCTTGAAATAAGTGACTTCTCTGGACATACAATTTCAGCTGTTTTTACAAGACATCGCTTTATGAAATCTCCTTCATTGCAAAATTTTCCACTGATGGCGATCATTTTGCAGATTTCAAATGTTGCCTTTCTGAATTTTTGTGAAGAAACGCTTGTTGTGTTAACTTAACCTTGAATTCCTTCACTTTTCAAACCCACTCATCTCCTTCATATTTATAAGATCAATTGTTTCATGTCTTTTCACATTATATTCTTTTGACATCACAATGCAGTGGTTTCAAATCGGTTTATCTTTCCATTAATAGTGATATGAAAGTAATGTAATTCCCACTTTTCTTGAAGCATACATCCTTCTTCAGATAATTTTCTCTCTTTATGAGATGGAGTAGAATTTGACATTTTTAAGGCAAAATATTACAAAATTATGAACGTTTTCACTTTACATTTGTTCTTATTTAGTTGTCAAGGAGGAACACATGATTAACCGGAAGTTAAAAATAGTCACTGACATTCAAAAACAAAAAAAACATTGAGATAGAATGAACAATCTAACCATACCAATTGAAAAAAAGAAGTCTTTTTAATAATTTGCATTACCAACATAGACAAAATTCTCACTATACCATGGCTATAGAAACCTTTGTGAGAGCCACCAAGATGCATGTAAAGGGCTGCATGCAGCCCATGGGCTGCCAATTTGACACTCTTGATGTATAACATGTGAAGTGATTAAATTTGAATACTATTATGTAAATATTTGAGCAGTGTGTAAACAAATTCTAGTCTATTAATTTTTAGTTGAAAGTGATATTTTATAATATTGTGTAATTTCTTACCCAATATATCAAAGAAAAAAAACATGGTTGAGTGGACCAGTCTAATGTGATAACTTGGAAACTTGTCTGGGAGCAGAGTTGTAAAGCATTTAATCAAATACAAACTGATATTTGTTTTGTATTATATTTTTTAAATTTTATAAATAAATTTTAATTTGTTGGATTGAAATCAATCTCCACCACTCTATATACAAGGTCTTGAATGCATTCAGCAAATTTTAATATCTTGATGCTCAGCTGTGTGACCATGATGTAATGTGGCAACCATCAGAGGACTTTATTGTGCATATGGAAACATCCTCTTTCATAGGGTTACATCATCAGCATTGAGATTTCATGTGTTAGTATTAAGTAGATTCTTAACATTTACTGAGTTTTTACAATTCAGATTAGATTTCTAGTATCTTTTAGTTTTTCTCAGAACAATAATTGCCATGAAAATGCTGCAGACAGGATTAAAGAGAATGCAACAAAGTTGTTGATTGCAACCCTGAAAGATCGTTTGACAGTTTTGAAAAGTATAAGGATGGGACAGTTTTTGAGGTGAGTTAGGTGTCATTGTCTTGAATAGGCTATTTTTCATTAATGGATCTCACAGGTAGTGTATCTAGTTATATATAGGATGTATCAAATATAAATGACAGTAATTATATCTACTTTGATTAGCCCATTACAAGGTAACAATGGTAAAAAGTTTCTGTGACATTTTGCCAGTGGGGAAGGTCTTCTAATCAGAAAATCAACTTTCAAAATCTTGACTTCTAGATATGTCAAGATGCTGACATTTAGTAAATATTCAACTATTTTATTTATGAGTTGGGCAATTAGTCATTTACCAATAATGGCTTAGTTTGGTACAAGACCACTGTAGAGAAGTACTTGATAGGGATTGGATTATAATGAATTGGTTTGCAAGAAGAGCTTGAACCCCTGTAGCATTTAAACAAATGAAGTATAATGTAATAAAGATGAACCTGTTCCTTTTGTAACTGGGCAAGCTTTCTATTTTGTTGAAAAATCTCTTATTATATAATAAAAAAGACAAAACTATGCCATGTCCTTTTGGAGCATAGGCAGTCATGACTCTAAACACATTTTTATTATATATGAATTACCATTCATTCTTGGGAAAGATAGGGGATAGTTTCCCATTGCCTTCTCCATGCCTTGGAATTAAGGATTTTCCTACTTTTAGACTGGTTGCCATTCATGGCTCAGTCAACTCTGTGGAGTAATCGGCTATGGTTAAGTGTAATCAGTAAAATGCCCACATTCAAAAATGGTACAGTCAATTGATTGTAGTGTTTTAACTTCAATGCAAGAAAAATATGATGGATGAGACCAGGAAGTGGTTCATATTTATTGGTTAGGAAGCTGTCCCAGCATGCATCTATAAGATTTGTGTATAAATTTGAGGATGGGGATGTTTTTAGTGATCATTCCATCAGATTGAAACCTAGACACCTTGTTATTTTACCCTTAGCTGGCGGGGAAAAGAGATGGATTCAAGCATTTCCCAAGGTCACTAGTGCAAAAGTGAATGCAATAGAGGATCCTGAAATTTGAACTCTGGATTTCTGATTCCTCTTTGTGCTGATTATCCCATAAACTACCTACACGTCCATTTAACAGCTTATGATTTATTTATTTATTTTTAAAATTTTTTTAACAATTTAAATAAAGTGGCAGTTAAATATTAGCTTCTGATGCTTTTCTTTTTAGCTTTTAGTATAACATCTTGTTTAATTTCCAATAACAACCATAGTTGCTATTAATAAAGTGTGGCTACTTTGTGTGATAGTTGTCACTGAAAATTTTGTCAGTGAATTTTGAATAAATTTACTTTTGGCAATTAAATAAAAAAAATTTTTCAGTTCTAAAATTCCTTTTCATCTTTGAGATCAAATTGTAGCATATAATTTAATAAATATTATAAAAAGTCAAAACAAGTAGAAAATCTTTTTTGATGCATTCTTTTGGAAGCTAGTGTTGAAGACTAGTTTGTGTTCAATCTTTGTGTGCTCAGCATTTGTAGCTTTGCTAAGCTCTACTTAATAAATAGCAATAAGAAATATAAAACTATAAATATAAAAGATTTTGAAATATAAAACTAATTTGTTTTTTTTATGTGCAGAAAAACAGATTACGATAGATTAAGATTACTGGTTCTTGCCAATCTTACAACTTGGATAAAAAACTTTGCTCTGTAATTATCTAATATGTCAACCTATTATTCTCTATAAAACCATCTTCCTTTTATAACTTCTCTTTTTTTATGTTTCATCTTTCTCTTTGGTCTACAAAAAATCTTGCAACATTTGATTTTGTGTTGGAATTCTTTAAATTTATAATTGCATGCATATTTTTTTTTTTTATTTCATTAATTTTTTTTTTTTAAAATTCTTTTTAATTTCAATGAAACATTTTTTTTCTTTTAAAAACAAGAATACATAAAATCAAACATGGCTGACACTTGGTTGTTTGTAAACACATTCATAAACTGAGTGCATCTTTCTACTGTTGCTGCTATTAACTCCTGCTACTGCTTGTAACGTAGAGATGTACAATGCAAGATAACTTGAACATTTATCATCATGTTGCTATAGCTACTAAGGCAAAGCAGTGTTGTATGTTGACTAAATATGATTGGCCAGTTTTATAGCCAATCAAGAGAATGCTTTGTTTTTCATTAATTGGTGGCATTTATTGTGTGTGTGTATGCTCCAATCTTTTGGCAAGAGCTATGAAAGAATGTTATCAAGATATTTCTTGGTTTCAGTTTTCATTGAAAATTACTCTATTGTCAGTTTTTTTTTTTTTTTTTTTTTTTTTTTTTTTTTGGGAGACTTATTTTTGGTCAATGGAAACTGAAAAATCTCTTGTACATTTTTTCCAGTAATTGTAGGGTAAAATATTGCTTACTGGAAAGAAGTAACAATTATACCATAAATCAAATAAATTTATGATTTACATTTTGTGACTTTAGACCAATTTTTGTTGTATCTTATTAAATATTGCAGAATTCATTTTCATGATTATACTAAAGAGAAATATTTGTAAATTTTTCAAAGTATATAGGGTGAGTTATGAAAAACTGAAATGTCATTTAGTAATTGTCTTAAAGTCACAAATCCTATTAAAGTTTGTATTTTGTAATTTTAATACATAATGTAGTTAGATATTAGAATATGATTTTTTTTTTGTTTGTTTTTATCTGGCAGTGTTAACATAACATTTATGATGAATATGGTGTAAAATATAGAAATGCTATAGAACAGACAATAGAAATGTAGTATTTGTTTGTAATATAATTTAGTATTGTTTTTGATAAGATGGATGAGCTTGACTCTATCCAGAAAGTAATTCAATTCTAGATAGTACTAGAAATACTTTTATATCATTCTTGCAGGAAACTTGTTTTTGTTATTCATTTTGCACAGTTACTCTGGCGGATAAAAATAGTGTTACTTCACAAGTTGATAAATCTTTCTTCAGTTTAGTCTACCAGTAGTGTTTTGAAAATATAGTGAAGTTATTTGAATTATTTGAACTTCTATTCTCATCTTTGTTTTTTCTCCAGGTATGGGTCTTCAAATATTTCTTCTAAATTTCCATATTTGCACTGAGAATGTAAAGTGCATCTTTAGCTTAGTGATGATTGAATTGTGTTGGGGTAATTAATGATTGTAATATATACAGGAAAGTCTTTGAGACAGCTTGTAATGTTTGAAAGCAAGCAACAAATGTTTGCATGGGGTTATTTTTGTTATTGTGTGTATGGATAAAATTTATTATTGTAATAACTCTTAAATTAAGTTCCTTTATATAAAGATAATGCATTTATTCAAAATTTATATTTATTGATTTGCAGACATGGTTGTTTGGTTATGAACTCACAGACACAGTGATGGTATTGTGTGAAAAGGGAATCTATTTCCTTGCAAGTAAAAAGAAAATCGAGTTCCTGAAGCAGGTTGAGACCTCCAAGGAAAATGATCAGGGAATTCCACCAATCAAACTTCTCACAAGAGACAAAGTAATTTTATTTTGTTTGTTTAAAACATAATTTGTAAGTGCTTCTTGTGGATGCAGGAAGGATGGTAGTTTCTGTTGAAACCTTCATGTATTCATTTTATCAGATGCATTATTCTAGAACCCTAATTGTGATTTCAGTCTGTTAAATTCAGCATACTTACTAAAAAGAATTATTTTCTTAGTAATTTTTAACTGACATTTACTATTTACAACCAGTTGACAAATATAATCTCAAATTTTATTGCTGGTTACTTAATTTTTGTTATTTAATATTGGTACTACTTGGGCAGATAAATTGAGGAGATAATAGGAGAGTGGTTTGTCCAACTTCTCACCTAATCATCTAATCAATTGTTATATCATGCAAATAATGCCAAGATATCTGGAGATAGATAATCACAGGGAACTGTGAATTCATGCCTTTCCTCAAGGATTAGTGCAAAGTGAATATTACTTGGCAAAAGCATATCAATATGGTTTGAGTTGTAACTGATAAAAATGTATTTTTCTTCAGGCTGACAAAGACAAAGGGAATTTTCAAAAACTTGTAGATTCCATCAAAGAAAGCAAGAAGGTAAAGTTAATTTTTTTTTTTTTTTTTTTTTTTTTTTTTTTTTTTAAAAATGTTATGCATACCATGGGGAAAATAAATATTTCATCCCCTGCTGATTTTCTGAGTTTACAACCTTACAAAAATAGGAACAGTCTATAATTTTCAAGGTAAGTCTGTCTTGAAAGTGAGACAATATTTAAAAAAAAAAAAAATCACATTAATTTTTGAACATTTATTTCTTTTTTATTGAAAAAATAAGTATTTCACCCCATAGCAAAACATAACTCAGTATTTAGTGAAGAAACCCTTGTTTGCAAGCACAACAGCCAGACGTTTCCTGTAGTTGGTTACCAAGTTTTTACAAATCCCAGTGGGGATTTTGGTGCACTCCTCTTTGCAGATCCTCTCCATATCCTTAAGGTTTGTAGGTTGTCATTGGGCAACTCAGAGCCTCAGCTCCCTCCACAGATTTTCTAAAGGATTAAAGTCCGAAGACTGACTAGGCCACTCCATTACCTTAATGTGTTTCTTCTTAAGCCACTTCTTTGTTGGCTTAGCCATATGTTTTGGGTCATTGTCACGCTGGAACACCCATCAGTGTCCTGGCTAAGGCAAGGAGGTTTTCACTCAAGATTTCCCTGTACTTGGCCCCATCCATCTTTCCCTCAACCCTGTGTAGTCATCCTGTCCCCTTGGCAGAAAATCAGCCCCAAAGCATAGTGTTTCCACCACCATGCTTAATGGTTGAGATGGTGTTTCTGGGGTCCAAGTCAGCTTTTATTTTTTATTTTTCCTCCAAACATGTCGAGTTGATGCCAAAAAGCTCAATTTTAGTCTCGTCTGACCACATCACTTTCTCCCAACGCTCCTCTGAATCATCCAGGTGCTCATTTGCAAAATTCTGACGGGCCTGTACATGTGCCTTCTTGAAAAGGGGGACCTTGTGGGCACTACATGATTTCAATCCACTACAATGTAGTGTTACAAATGGTCATCTTGGTGACTGTCGTCCCAGCTGCCTTGAGATCATCAACAAGCTCTTACCACATAGTTTTGGGTTGTTTCCTCATGTTTCTCATAATCAGGTTCACTCCATGTTGGGAGATCTTGCATGGAGCTCCAGACTGAGGGAGATTCATATTGAATTGGTGTTATTGCACCAGCAGTTGACTCCTTCTCACCTAGCTGCTTGCCAATCGTCTTGTAGCCAATTCCAGTCTTGTGCAGGTACTAAGTTTTGTACCAGATATCCTTAGACAATTCTTTTGTCTTGCCCATTGTGGAGAGATTAGATTCTGATTCATTGAAGGATTCTGTGAACTAGTGTCTTTTATATAGGTAATGAGTACTTGATTAGGAATAATAATTGAGTAATAGGACTAGACTATATGCCTCCTGGTCACATAACTGATCTGTGGGGCCTGAATCTTTGCTGGTTGGTAGGGGGTAAAATATTTATTGATTTATTTTTATTTTATTTTATTTTATTTTTTTTTTTTTTCAATAAAAAAGAAATAAGTATTCAAAAATTAATGTGATTTTTCTAGAATTTTTTTTATATTCTATCACTCACTTTCAAGATGGACCTACCCTGAAAATTATAGACCATTCCCATTTTTGTAAGGTGGCAAACTCAGAAAATCAGCAGGGAATGAAATATTTATTTTCCTCCACTGTACCCCCCCCAATGAAAAAGAATTTCATGATTTAGTTTTGCAATATCTTAGTGTTGCATTTTTAGATGAGGCTTTGTCACTGCATTAATAAATCTCTTATTGCTAACTCCTTTTGGGCTAAATACTTTGCAGTGAACCTTTATGAAGACTAATATTATGATTATATAGTAATAAATAAATGAAGTGGATTAAGATGAACCATAAAATTGCTAGCATGCACTTTATTACTAAGTAAAACATCTTTTTTTTTTTTTTTTATAGCTGTCTTCATTGTACAAGGGATGATAATGTACTTTCTAGAATGAGTGTGTTGCAGGAATAATGAGTCAGGCAATCATTTGTATCCCAGAAAATCTAGACTGTTCTGATTGATTAGTAATTTGTTGCCAAGCAGTAGAGGAAGTTGACATATTCATGCTGTACTGGTGGCAGAAAATGGTTGAAAATAAACTGGTGCAGTGGGTTAATATAAGTGAAGATCGGTGAATGTATTGGTGAAACATTTAACCCTATTAAAAATGGTTTGTGATAAATATTCTTTTGAATGGCACAAGCAGGACACGGAAGAGTGAGATGTGCATGATGAAGCAAAGAATGGGTAGCCAAAAACAAAGGATAAATGTAAATGTGGACCCTGAATCTTGGTGCACTTGGATAGAAGATTAAGTGTGCATCTGATAAAGCTGCATAAAAACAGTTTGGTAGATTCTGACAGGATTTTGTTGTGTTAAGAATTATTTCCCAAGTTTCTGGTTAAGAAATCTGTTACAAAAATCTGCTGCCTATCTTATAACCCTTTATAATTTTTTATTATTAATTCTTACACATGATAAATCTCACCTGTCCTTCCAAAATAACAGAGGCAGGTCTGATTGGTAGGTGTGCTGAGAGCAACTTCCTCAACAGTGGATTAAGTATAGGTTACATTTGTTCAAGTTTCTGTGTCAAATGCAAACTTTGGTAAGGAGAAACGCATGTTGGTGCCCTCCTTTTTTTTTTTTTTTTACAAGAATTTCAAGTAACAGAATGTAGACTTGTAGCTTTAAACCTTTTGCATAGTATATAATTAAAAATGACAACTCGTAGATATTAATATTTTCCTCTTCTTTTTCAGGGTAAAACTGTTGGTGAATTCAGCAAGGATAAATTTCCAGGTGATTTCATGGATGGCTGGAGAGCTGCTCTCAAAGCAGAAGACTTCACAAAAGTAATTTATATTGCCTCTAAGTTTAATATTAATGTACATGTTTTTTTTTTTTTTTTTCACAAAAAAAAGATGTAAAACAAAACCAATAACTTTTGTTAATGTAAAAATCAGTCTTTGAATTTTTTTTATTACTTAATCAAAACTGTTAAGAAAGGTCATGTGGAATAATTTTTTTTTTCACTTGCTCATTGTGGACAACATAAGATTGGAAATAAAAAAAGTCAAAATTAAAAATCTAAAAGGTGTGTGACAATTAGAATTGAATAAAATTATCTGCACCAGTCCATGTGATCTGCAAGTACCTGGAAGATAAATAGTCTTTGTTTTGGGCAATTTCTGAACATGTAATCTGTGTGTATGTATGTAAGTTTAATAATAAATATTAGGTAAACAATGTATAGAATGAAAAAATACCAAGTTTGTCTCATTTAGATAAAAGTTTGAATCTTCTTTAAAATTGTGTTGGTATGCATTTGGGAAGAAGCAATGAACTTAACCCAGTCTCAATATTTTTGAGTTCCTTACAGAAAAGTCAATAACTACAACTGATTTTTATTTCTGGGCTCCATATATTAATTATAATGAATAATGACATCTCCCTCTTTTGGTCATCTTACTATTGGATCAGTATATCAATAATAAGGTTTGAATATTTCAGAGTATATGTGGTGGATTGGCTTTCAGAATGTTCAGGGGACGTACCAAGGCTACACTAGGAATTAGTATCACTTAATAGTATAAAAGCCGTTAACATCTGCTGGGTTTGAAATTAGACCACTTAGAGTAGATTATTTTTTTCCTTTGTTCATGTCCTGCATTATGTTGCTATTGCTTTTGCTGTGATTGGTGATATTGTGTATGAGCTTGGTCTGAGGTTGACTACAGAATTGTAATATCTGCACTTTCAATGCATTTTCTTGTGAATTCTCTTATCTTTTAATCAGGTTGTAATTTATTGTGTTGAAATTGTGGTTTGATGTGTGTGAGAGAACATTAGCTGGAAATGGGACAAAGGTCTACAAGAGCATTGCATAAGAAATGGCGGGATGGCCAATATATTTATCAGAAGCCAAAGTTGTGTTGCCAATTTAATCATGGCATACTTAACCAAACTGAGAATGTCACAGAAAGAAGGAAATTTATGAAATGTCTACATATATGGTAGAGGTTGCATGTGCATGGATCTGGCATTCTCACACTGACAGCAAGCCAAAGTCTACTTTATCATAGGAATTTGTTTGGTTACTCTGAGTTATTAGTAACAAGGATTTGGCACTGAAAGTATGCCTGACTCTAGGGTCATCATCTAGCTAGGAACACTGATGTAGTTTTCATAGTAGTTGTTTGAATTTGTGTGTTTTTAAATTGATCTTCTATGTTAATATTTTTACCCTTTTGCAAGTAGCAGTTTCTTATGTTACCATTAGTAATTCTTTAGAAATATATATATATATATATATATATACACACACACACATAATTTTTTTTTTTTTTTTTTTTTTTTTGTACAGGTGGATATCAGCAGTGCATTGGCACTAGTCATGGCTAACAAAGAAGAATCAGAAATAAAAACAATACAACGTGCCTGTCAGGTGACCTGTGATGTTTTCAACAAGTTTTTGAAAGAACAAATCATGGAGATAATAGATGCCGAGAAAGTAAGACATTTTCATTTTTCTCTAATTGCAAAAATTTAAGTGGGTTACCTTATACTATAGTTGTGAAAGTAAGTCGATATTATATAATTTAGTTCACACTGTGATCCTTTAAAGGAGAAACAAACAAGTAAACTCTATGATGAGGAATGCAAATTCTTGTCAAACATTCTTTATTTTGATTTGCAAAACTTACTAATGCCCATGGAATGACTGAGAGTTGAGAAAAAGTAATGCTTCAAAAGTTAATTAACAATGCTTTAAGAAAATCAAATACTATGCATCTAATACTATTACTTTAATGTAAGCAAAGATGACTTACTGACAGTCCGAAGTAAGGAATATAGCTATATAACTAGATTAGGGAAGCTACAGATGTTTGACATTAGTGGACAAATCAGTAAAGCTGCTGCCATGGTAAAATAGGCTTTCGGGAATAAAAATCAGAAAGTTCTAATATCCTCGGATTTTTATCTGACCCAATATTAAGGGTGGAAGGAAAATTATTGCCTGGATTTCAATGATATTAAAAATTTTCTATTGAAATTAGTGTAAGTTATAGATAGGGATTTTTTTTTTTTTTTTTTTTTTTTGTCACTGGAAAGCATATTTTGTTCTATTCAAATAAAATCACCGAGTCTGGGTGGTAAAATAATTTGTAACTTAATCTCTTGTAATTATTACGTAAATGACAAAATAATTGCAGTGTATACATTCTTCCTGATTTTGCTAGCAAAATGAAAGGGAAAAAAAAATGCTGCTTGAAATGACATGTTATTTTTTTGTGTTTGTAGAAAGTGAAGCACTCCAAATTAGCTGATGGTGTTGAAGCTGCTCTCCAGAATAAAAAGTATGTATCTGGTGTGGATACTTCCCAGTTGGATATGTGCTACCCAGCCATCATTCAGAGTGGTGGAAAATATAGTCTGAAGTTCAGTACAGTCAGGTCAGTTCTATTGAGACTTTATAATTATAATAAAAAGAAAAAAAAGAAAAGTTACTTAATCAAAAGAATTGTATTAAAATATATTTATGAGTTAGGATTTTTATGGTGGAGTAATGGATAGTGGCTCGGATTGAGGAATTGGAGAAATGAGTTTGAAATCCATTTGAATCCATTACATTTCACTTATGTGCTAATACCCTTGGGAAAGGTACGAATCCTCTTCTCTGCCCACCTATGGGTAAATAGCAACAGACTGGGTTCTATAACCATGGATGGCAACTGGTCTACTGCAGAAACAAATGGCAACCTACTGTGGGGAAAAATTTGCCTCGTCAGTCATGTACCGAAAGATACAGGATCACCTAAGCGTGTTTTGCACATGGCACATAACAGACTGAAATCAGGTTGGTTTTTTTTTTTATGATTATTGATTTATCTAAAGAACCAAGTTGGCCATAAAAGTAATAACAAGTAATTACAATGAGCCAGTGGATTTTTTGAACTTGTTAAATGATTTTTTTTTTTTTTTTTTTTCTGCCATTGTCTTTGTGTTTTTAATGTTTCACTTTTTATAGTAGGTACCTCCACCTGATTTCAAGACCTTAGCTTAAAATAAATTTTTTTAAATGAAAAAGCTTTCTTGAATCTTTCTTTTTAGCTTTAATTGAAAGCTAAATGATTAAATTTACTATTTCCAGTAAGCAAAATACCCTGGTGTATTTCAAACAAATCATATTGATTGGAATTTCAATTTTTTGGTTGCTTTCAAAAAAAACATTTAAATTTGGCGCTCATGACACATTTGTAAACAAGATTTAATTCTTGGTTTTAAAATTCTTTCAAAAATGTTTGTGACATGTTATTTGAGGGAAATAAGCAGTTAAATTAATCTGATTTGAAACAAATATTACTTATAACATACAAAAACATAGTATACAAGCATTTCTTAACTGTGAGGTTTTTTTTTTTTTTTTTTTTTTTTTTTATACATGCCAAATGATTTATTGACAGCCAAGTTATGGTTGACCAGAATTGACATAAATTAATTTACAAAATCTAAGTGAATGCTTTCTGATTTTTTTTTTTTTTTTTTTTTTTTTTTTTTTTTTTCTGTAGTAATTTTAAAAAATTAACAAATTTTCAGCAATTATCAAATATTTTATTGAATTTTAGTTAATTTTATAGCCTTATGTTTTGAAGATGCTTTCTGAAAAAATAAAATTTAAAATATAACATTTTCTTAAATCAGATAAAAAATTTGATAACTGAGATATTAATGAAATACCATGATACAAGTAACTCAATAATTTATGAAATGTTATGGTATTTTATTTTATTATTTATATTTTTTTAATATCTTATTTTTCCTTTTTACTCTTTATGAATTGTTATGGTAGTTATGAAATGTTAGTTATTTTATTTATTAAATTTATATAGTACTTAAATTTTATTATTATGTAACTTTCATTATTTTAGTCCAATACCATAAACAATATATTTTTAAAAAAAAAATGTAATGAAATAGTAATAATCAAAACAAAAAAAAAAACCCTTTTTGAAGGGAATATTTGCAAAGACATAAACCCTATATAACACACATAAATGAATAATGAAAGAATTGCAGACTAACAAATCTTTTTTTGATGGTAGGACAACTGTTAAAACAGATGACCTTTTAAGGATAATGTTATGGATGGACTATCATAATCACAAAAATGGGAATGTTTATACACTAAAAAAAAAATAAAATATTGGTGTGCAAACGAATTTTATTGAGCTTTTCATTTTTTTGATTCATAAATATAGTTTTCACTTAATAACAATATCGACTAAAAACGATTTATAACATAAATTATTATAATTAAAATTTAAAAGAAAATGAAAAAAAAAAAATTCATTATTCATCAAAAAAATTCTTTTTCTTAAAGACAAGTGTTGTTAATAAATTTTATTTATAAAAACAATTAAAAGCTTTTTTAATTAAATAATGTCATAATTTTATTGCATTTTTTGTTTTATGGTTCAGAGCAGATTTTTGGTAAATCTGTTTTACAAATAAATTGATTTAAATTCCCCAAGGAGTCCTGCTTTTAACTAATAAAACCAACTTGGAAATTGAAATTTAATTTCTTGAAATTCCATGAAATTAAGTGGAGGGGTAACATATATTGGGGGGGGGGTATTTTATCATGATTTTCAAAAAAGGAAGAAAAAAAAAAATCAGAAATAATTTAATAATTCCTGAAAGTTACATTAAAATCTGACAATTAAGAATTGCAAGAATTCCAAATCATTGCCTTTTTCACCTGAAAAAGGCAGTATAACACATGGTAAATATGTAGACTGCTGATGTAAAAAAAAAAAAAAAAAACAATTTCGAACATGCTAGAAAGGATGAAAAAATTTAATACAATAACCAAAAAATACTTTGGTCTTTCCTTTTGATGATAAAAAATTTTGTTTTTATTAAGTTTGGGGCCTTTTTTCATTGTGCGAATTTTTTTTTTTTTTTTTTTTTCAGCAAAAAGTGGAGGTACCTATTTATTTTATAGCCTTTGTTATTCCTTTAGCAATGATTAAGTTTATTAAGACATTAAAAAAAAAAAAATTGTTTCTTTGCCCTTCCTGTTTCCACATTTTCTACCTACAAAAACAAAACTAATAGTAAAGAGGTTTTGTTATGCATAAAATGTCTTGTTTATTAAAGAAGGTTTATGCTTCAAGTGTTAAAAACACTATTGAATGTTACAAGAGTTTGTAGAATCACAATGGTATAGGTTCATCAGGTAGATTACAAATTCAGTATCTATTTACTTGCTCATTCTAATGGAATGTGGCTCAAGGCTGTGTTTAAAGTGGCAATACATAGGATTAATAATGAAATTGCTCAGACTTCAGTACTTTCTTATAGGATGCATTATTTGTCTCTGACCACCTCAGTGCAATCAGAGAAGTGCTGCCTCGTGGAATTTGATTCCTTGGAAATGAGCATGTTGAATGAAATGTAATAGGAAATAGCTTAGTTTTGGCACAAGGCTGCAATATTGGGCTCCCAGTGTGAATTGAACTCTTTCTCTGTAATAATGGTTATCCAAATTAGCTTGTTGAGCATTACCCAATTATGGCTAGGGCAGATTGTGATAGAAAAATCTAACCCATTTAAACAGTTCCAGTGGAAGTGAGAGATTTTTGGCAGGTTCCATAATACAATTGATATTAACTTTTTTTTTTTTTTTTTTTTTTTTCTAATTTTTTTTTATTATTATTATAGTGATGATGAAAGTTTAAAGTTTGACTCCATCATTTGTGCCCTTGGCGCTCGCTACAAATCTTATTGCTCGAACATAGTGCGCACCCTGTTGGTAGATCCTCCTGAGTCTTTACAGAAAGACTATGAATTCTTACTCACATTAGAAGATGAAATTCTGAACAAATTAAAACATGGTGAGTAGTGGCTTGCTTCTTTATCCACACTTGACAAAATAATCTCCATAGATCTTGCTTTATTCTTGTGGGTGTTTTGGTGCCAGTTTTTGGTCACATTGAAAAGAATCCATCATCATATTTTAGACGTACTAAAACTTTAAATGCAGTTTGCATTGTTTGTTCTGTTTATAAAATGAATTTATGGTAAATTCTTTTAGGGGAATTAATGACATATGACATAATTCTTTTGCTGTTACATATAAAATTGACGATTTTCAATTTTTATTGACTGAGAAAAAATAAAATATTGCCACAAAAAAAACATAAAATATTGGACAATTCAATATTGGGTCACATGAAAAGTCCATTGAAAAAATTTTTTTTTCTTTTAAGTGCTGGAAAGTTTTGCATATATGATACATTGATGATGGTTTGTGATAATTATAATTGAAATCTGTTATGAGTATTTATCTCCCTTTATAAGAGATGACAGTAATTTGGGCTGCTGCTTCCAACTTTAGTGTTCAAATTACAATTTCTAGTTTTTTAATGATTTAAAATAAATTTCATCATTTCTATCGTTTTTGTTACTTCAATCAGTAGTGTTTGAAATAGTAAAGCTTAATTAATGTGGGTTACAAATTATCTAATAGGAATTTAAAAAATTGAATCTTTCATTTTGAAAATAACTTTATTTTTATTGTTTTTATTTTTTCATCAAATCCTAATTCATTTTAATTTCAGGTACAAAAGTTAGTGCTGTTTATGACGCTGTTGTGGATATAGTGAAGAAAGAACGTCCAAACCTTCTGAATAAGCTGACCAAGAACTTGGGCTTTGTAACTGGCATTGAGTTCAGGGAAGGATCCATGTTAATCACAAACAAAACCCAAATCACTGCTAAAAAAGGTCATTTTCTATCTTATAAATCAATTTTTATGTATTTATGAGTAATTTTTATCTTCTAGTCAAATTTATAATGCAATAGAGAATTATCTATGAGAAATATTTCTGCTAGGATTCCTGCTAAAGATTAGAATGGTACTTGAGATGATCTGATTGGAGATACTTAGCAAGATGTAAGTTTGTGTAAGTGAATCTGGGAAGGATTTGAGCTTATAATGCACCATTTTTATGTTGCTTGTCCTCACAACTGAAATGTTCAGGCCTGTAGATGAAAATAAATTACTGTTTGATAAATAAGTGGAGCATTTATTTAAATGTGGATATCCACTAAAAAATATATATATATATATATATATTATCCAAGTTTCATTGGAAACAACTGACAAGGTGCAGTGCTTGAGTTTATTTATATAATTTCTCATGTTGGTATAATTTTATTGTTTTCAGTACATGAATTATTTAAAATTTGTCAATGTTTTCTAAAACAAATTTGGTTAGATGCCAATAAATGTCTTTTTTAAGGATTTTTTTTTTCCAGTGAAAGCTTAAATATAAATTATCTAATGTCTGAGCACATTTGGCTTTCACAAGACATTATTAAAGTCTTTTTTTTATTATTTATATGTGTGTATGTGCATTTTTTTCTTCTAATATTAAAGTATTATCTGTTGTAATCAGAAAGACAGTTTTAATGAATATCTTTAAAAAAAAAAATGGGATAGATGGAGCTCTTGAGTTGTAAATTAAACCACCTGATAACTTTCAGCTTTTCTTTGGTTAGGAAAAGATTAGAAGGTAACTAAGCCAGATATTTTGCATTTGGCTTATCTGGATTACTTAGCTTTGTTAGGGAGATTCTTTGCAAAGTTGTGCAAATTGAGTAAAACTTTAATTTTGTACAGGCATTTCTAACATGTGCAAATTTAATGTGTTAGGAATGGCCATATTCCATTATCAAGTTGATAGTCATCTTTCTCTACAAGCATAATGATGGATTTATTTTTAACTAAGGTTTCACACAAGGAATAATCAAATTCTACATTAGGGATAGATATTGAAATAATATTACTACAAAGATACATAAAAGCAATTAAAAAAAAAAAAAAATTACAAAATTTCCATCACTCATTTAAAGGAGGGTAGAATTGGGACTAATAATTCAATAACTCTTAGTTAATAATGAGAACAGATCATATGAAATACACAGACTTTGTAGTCTACCAAAATCCCACAAAAGGGTATTCTTATGTGATTTGAAGTGTTTCCCATAGACTGTCAGAAACTATAAAATAAATATGAACTACACTATTTGGAATAATTAACCCATTAGGTATTAAAAATTCTGTTTACTTTGAGTCAGACACAAGTGCTGAAAAGTGTCTTAATATAAAGTTCATGATTTGCTCATGAAGTCTGTCCACTAAAAATCATTCTGATGTTTAATCAGTTTGTCAAATTTTGGGAAGTGTATTGGGCCAAGAATATCTTTGCTGCCACAAAATTTAATAAAGACACACATTTTTATATGGAGCATAAATTGGTATGAGGATGTCTTTAGTTATCCCTAATGAACCAGCATCAGGGGATCTTCAATGACGTTCACAGTTCAGTGTTGCTGATCATTTTGGGAGTTTCCAGTTTTATTTTTTGCAAGATCTGAAGTTATTAAATATTCCTTATTTGCCAAATCAGCCTTACAATCCATTTTAAAGCTTAATGTTTATTATTTGAGAATTGAGGTGATTTTTTTATATATATATATATATAGACACACACAAAAATGGCTGCTGTTAGTTTACATATGTGCAGAATGAACCAGCTTTTATCCTTGGGGCACATAAATATTGCCATCATTTAGAAAATAAACCGTTAAATTCCATTAAGTACTTATTTTATATATTCATAAGACATGGAGTAGCTAATCATGGGAGTTGCATTAATAATTGTGGCTTTCTGGTCAAAACTTTCTAATGATTGTTTGCACCTTCCACTTCCATGACAGCTTTTTGTTGCTACTATTTAGATGGTAAGAGATATTGTAGAATTGGTTTGCCCAGAGATGAAGTTGTTTACCTTCTCTTTTCTTTGAGATTTTGTCAAGAGATGTGATGTGACTGGCTGTAGGAAGAAGTTGATTAACCCTCTTCTCTCAAATACATTTGTTTGAATGCAGATTCAATTTTTTGTTTGCTGATTCTGTTTACCATCATATCATTCTGCATTTCTAAAATTTCAGTACACTTGGTATTGTCAAAACATTTGTATCAATCTATCAAACTCTGATAGCTGACCTCACTTGCTGGTACACTATCTCAGGACATTTTGAGTAATTTCACTATCAGAACTTAATAAATCAACAGTAAAGATCAAGTGGAAAATACAAAGTAACTCTTATGAACAACCTTATTAGTTAGGTTGCGTAATTCTATTTTATATGACTATCCTGCCAGCAAGTTAAGTTTTGACACAAAGAAATCAGTGGCTATATTGACATTTTAAAAGAATTTCACAAGTACCTCAATCCATCTTCATAAAGACAAAACAAAAGTTTGAATTATTCAAAGATATTTAAAATGGCGCACTGATGAGATTTATCCCATTCCAAAGTGATATAGGGTAAGTACTAAGTATCATATTAAACTTTTACATTCTAAAATTGAGACACATGATCTTAATATTTATTGACATAAGTACATCAGTTCGGCACAGATCTTACCAGTTTACCAGGAGACCAGGGTGAAGAGTTGTCATCTTGTATTGGTTCAATGGATTCTTGTTCTATAAAAGTCAATGTCACATTGGCAGTGACCAAGAAAAAATGTGCATATATTTTTTTTTTATCTTGATATCCTCATGACAAGCAATTTACAGATAGTAAAGACATATGAAGCGGTAATTATCCTGGAGTGGATGAAGAGATTTTAATGTTTCACACACAAGTATCTGAAAGGGAAGAAGGATGAACCTAGTTGGTTGTTAAATGATCATTATTTGAATGGGGTTTTTTGGTGAAAAGTTTTGGGCCCAGCCAAGAATTCCTCGAAAAAAAAAAAAAAAAAACTTGTTTTGCCAAATTTTAGGAAGCATTTGGGCTGAGAACTTTTCAAAACTTCCACATATGTGCTTTGAGACTTTATAATTTTTTTTTCTACTAAAATATATATGATTTTTTTTCTTTGAATTATTTTTGCAGGAATGGTATTCAACATTAGTGTTGGCTTCTCAGATATAAGTGCTGGAGATCGTACATCTGCACTTTTTATTGGAGATACAGTTCTAGTTAATGAAGTAAGAGGATTTTAAACATTGTTTACTCATTAATTTTACAATGTGATGATTTTCTTTTTTTTCTTCGTAATACAGATAAATTCTTTTGCTGAAACTGTAGTTCAACTAAGCGAAGTGGTCCAGAGTTTTGTTAAAGTGTTACTGTGCAATGTAACTTGATGACCTCTGGACTATTCCATCTAATCAGTTGATTTCTCTTCAGAACTATGGAGGTTGGACAATAAAACTTTTATATATAATATACTGTATAGGACGTTAAGCAGTTTTAATATGTATTTAATGTGGCTTGTTTCTCATGGCCAGGATTTCCTTGTCCAATATGTATTTTCTTTCTTGGATAATTGAACAAGATAAAATTAAATCTTTGGAGGTATAAATCTGGTTGTTTTTAGATGTTTTGCAATATAGATTGGTGCATCGCCGAGTGATAAGAATGTTTGCAATATAGATTGGTGCATCGCCGAGTGATAAGAATGTTTGCTTTCTGACTTAGACCTGGCTTTCTAATCTTAGCATGGTTGTTTTGTTAGGAAGGTGACTTCTTGATGTTAATGGCCTAAGAAAGTAATCACTGTAGAAAAAAGAGAGAAAATCAAAAAAGTGACGAGAGGGTTCGCCGGCAAACCAGCTGTTCTTTTTTGTCATTGGTCGCTTCAAAGAAATGAATTGCGAGACTCTTTTTCTCGGCCGTTACACCAGGCAGTCGTGAAACGGACACCCAAATCAGATGCGCCTACTTCAACTGCCTCTTGGTCTGCCAGTCTATTCGCACGTCCGACTCTATTTCAGGAAGTTTGCCAAATTACTCGCCGTCTGCTGTGTCACTGGCGCCTCGCCTTTTTATGCTTGTCTGGCACTGCTGAAATTTGCATGTGTACTAGTACAATCTCGTTTTGGACGAGACCAGTGCGTATAAATTGCATCTTCGACAGCGCCCATGTTTTCTCTTGGATTTATCATGCAAGCAAGACATGTTCACACACTTTTCGAGCTCCGAGGTAAGTCATCACACCCCTCCATGATCTCATGATCACAAAGGTGGCAGCCCGGCGGCAGTCGTTTTCGATGGGTGCTTCTTCGTAAAGGCAGGGCAAGGGGCTCTGATCTCGCTCCCCCTTCGTAATTGTACTTGCTCTCCTCTTGAGCATTCCACATGCCACATGGAGCCAACCACTCACTGGGAGGTGCCCAATAAGCCTTCCACACAGAGAGAACACCTTCTGTCGCGTAATGACATTGGGGGCGTTAGGAACCACGCTTCCTCGTCTCCACTGCAGTCTTCCGTGTTCCATTGCGACTGCCAATCCTAGTACCCGTGCGCCATCCTCCAACCATTCTGGGTCCTTGCATTCCAGCCCAAACTGGGCCAGATGTTTTTTTTTTAATGTGGGTCGTGGGAATGACTTTCTTCATTGATATAGACGTCGTCAATGTAGGCAGATGCCACACGACCCACAGCTTCTTCCTGAGCCAGCACCGTACTGATGATCGCCTTCATGACGAGTGGGGCCACGTTTAATCCAAATCCTAAACGTGTCAGGCAATATCTTCTCCCATCAATTTTCACAGTCTGGTATGGCCAGAGTGACTCATGGACACGTATTTGGAGGTACGCTCTCCTGAGATCCAACAAGGACATGTTGGATCCCTTTTTGCCGCCATTCGCGCAGTTTAACTGCACAGACATCTGCATTGGCGGTGAAAGCGTCAATGTGATGGTTTAGCTCCCGGAAGTCCATCACTGGCCGTACCTTTGACTTGTTCTGCTGTAGTACGGCCATTAAGGGAATTAGCCCCTTGGGAGGCCCCAGTTTTTCTTCTGGGTACGGTACAAGCCAGCCACTGCTGATCCACGTGCGGAGCTCCTGTTCGTAGTCCTCCCTGATTTCTGCTGCTACCGGGTACTCGAAGACCCCATTGTGCAGTTTTTCAGGCATGCAGTTCTCCGACCACTTCCATGCCACAGTCCAGGATCGTCTCCAGTGGTCGAAGGTGGCAGTGAAGTCTGGTTCATGCACAGTAATCGCTGAGCATTTGGCTACTCGCCCATTGCTAATCTGTGCTCGTCCCGTATGCCCAACAGTAACGCCTCCCAATGCTGTTATAGCATCAATCCCCAATAGCAGGTCAAATCCCAGTGGTTTGCCGCGCACCACTAGCACGTCGATCTTAGCAGAACCGCCTCCCTCCGTGGATACAGTTACCACTCCCATGCTGCAACATGGACGGGACACGCCTCCAATAGTCATGACATCCAACTGCACTTTCTTCCAAGACTGGCACCGATCTGCATCCACAATTGTCTGTGAACAGCCAGTATCAATCAGCGCTGAGCACGAAGTTCCGTCAACAAGAACGTTTGCCACCGGGAGCGCCGTATTTACATCTTGGTTGGGGAGAAGGCTGGCGCTGATGCCTTGTCCCCTGTAGAGTTTATGAACAGTCTCAGGCCCAGTGTCCTAACTCCCCGCATTGATGGCAGTGTGTTCCGCGCTTCCGGCAGTCTTTTGCCATGTGGCCTTTAACCCTATACCTGTAGCATGTCACACTGGTGCGTGGGCCACTCTTGGTGGGAGATGTGCCGACACTATGGGGTGGGCGCACAGCCGCAACAACGTTCTGACTTTCATCTCCGGTAGTTGTCAGCACTCTCGCTCTTGCTAACAACTCCCCTACAGTCAGTGCTTCAACGTTTGGTGCCTGTCGGAGTTCAAGGGAGATTGCATCAGGAAAACCCATGACGGAGGCTAGTTTGGTGAGCCTTTACATCTCGGCTCACTCGAATCCGGCCAATTGAACAAACTGTCTGACTTTATTTGCGTAAGCGTCTACGCGCTTGCTAGTCCACCTGACCATGGTCAGTTTTCTATATGCTGAAAACACATAGTCTGCGAATGCCTGCTTCAGTCTGGCTTCGAATTGATTGATGTCTCCTTGATCTTCCTCCTCCATTTTCATGTAGAGGGCTAGTGCGTCCCCCTCCAGGTATAATGGTAGCAGACTAGCTACATCGTCCACCTGCTGAAGTCTCGCCACCAGCCTAACCTTTTTCAGCCATGCCACCACTTCGCCTTGGCTGGAAAATGGTTTTATAATCTCACTGCTTATGCGAACCTTCGCCATAATCCGCCAAAATAGCTTGTAGAAAAAAGAAGAGAAAAACAAAAAAAGTGACGAGAGGGTTCGCCGGCAAACTAGCTGTTCTTCTTCACCATCGGTCGCTTCAAAGAAATGAATTGCAAGACTCCTTTTCTCAGTTGTTACACCAGGCAGTCGTGAAACGGACACCCAAATCAAACGCGCCTACTTCAACTGCCTCTTGGTCTACCAGTCTATTCACATGTCCGGCTCTGTTTCACAAAGTCTGCCGAGTGACTCGCCGTCTGCTATGCCGCTGGCGCCTCGCCTTTTTATGCTAGTCCGACACTGCTGAAATTTGCATGTGTACTGGTACAATCTCGTTTTGGACGAGACCTGTGTGTATAAATCGCGTCTTCGACAGTGCCCATGTTTACTCTTGGATTCATCATGCAAGCAAGACACGTTCGCACACGTTTCGAGCTCCGAGGTAAGTCATCACAATCACAGAGCTTGAAAACTCTGTGTGTGGGTCCAAACTGTGTGAATAAAAGTGGGTGGATGGAACTGTTTAGAGGCCATCAAGGGTTGTGCCAGCACAATCACAAGTCATTGTGATCAAGAGTTTGCATGTACTGGCTTTATTCAGACTGTTGATCATCCCAGGTGATGTGCTCCCTCCTGGAAACTGTAAGTTCCACTCGGGGTAGTTACAGTATAAATGACAAGTGGGTTTGAAAAGTAACTGTAGTGTGCATTATCTGAATTAGTAGTCATTGTGCCAGTATGCCTGACATTGTGCTAAACTAAGCTAGGCTTAGTAAATAGCAACACTTCCAAGTAGTAATTTGAGTTGTTCATTCCATAAATTGTTAATTTTGTTCTTTCAAGGTGGCCATAATGTCTCAAAAATCAATTTCTTTTTATCTTTCTTTTAATAGGATGCCCCAGCATCACTACTGACAACTCTCAAAAAGAAAGTCAAGCACATTGGTATTTTTTTAAAGGTAAACTGTTCTGTATATATTTTTTCTGCTTCCTAATTTTAGAATTTTTGAAAGAAGGCAAATATTGTCTATGATAAATGGTTTATTTTTTGTTTTGTACAAAAATGTCTATTACATATTTGAAAGTAAGTTTGGTTTATAAACTATTCTCAATTGAAAGTAACTTCTATCTTATTAGTTAGTTTCTAACCTGAATTTAAAAACAACTAAGCTAATGTAATTTGGATAAAGTATAACCATAATCAGAAAACATGAAGTCTTTGGAATATATCAGTTTAAATGTTCAAAACAAACATGAAGATATTAGCTTGACAAAAAGTTTAAACTTTGGAATAAGTTTCTTATTAATTTACATGATTCTGCTTTAGTTTGTTTCAATAATAAAAAATAACTCTTTCTCTTAAAAAATTGCTTATCAAATATAAAAAAAAATATGCAGGGGTTATTGAGCAAAGTGAGTTAAACAAATCTTCATATAAAAGTTTTTAGACTATACTATTGTCTATTAAGTGTGCAATAGCATTGGGTTTGAGAATGTATGGACCTTAATTTAAAAAAAATGTTTGATAATTTAAAAAAAAAAAAAAAATGCTAATTGAATGAACTTTTAATGAGTCATAGTATTTTTGTTGATGAACGATCTTGCCTTGATGTGGTTGGCTGATGATAGATCAAATGGTGGTTGCTGAAGGTTGGGGTACCTATGGACATTTCTTAAAAAAAAATAAAAATAGTGAGGTCTAATGCATCAGTTAATTTTTTTCTTTCATGAAAGATTTCTCTGCAGCATTTGATGTTGGATAGTATCTTATCCACAGTTAAAATTTTAAATTGGAGTTATTCCTCTTAAACCTGGCAATATTTTTCTATCAATTAATTGTGTAATATTGTAAATCCTTTGTCATTTCAAGAATGTTCTTTGCTTCATCCATAAGAAACAACAACATTGCATCTATTATTTTCAGGCTCTTGTATTTTTACCTTTACAATCATTTGATCTATTTGAACCCTAACCCTCCCAGCACAACACAATAAATTGAATTACAATAAAATGTACTCTACCTGTAACCCTGTGTATTGTATTTATAAACTTAATGTATACATTTTCACAATATGAGGTTGAATGAAATTGATCGGGATCTTTTCGTTTGTTATAGGAAGAAGATGAGGAGGAGGAGGAAGAGGAGGAAAAAGAAGAAGAACCAATTCTCCTTGGACGTGGACAACGAAATGCCATATTGGACAGTAGAACACGAGTAAGTTAGAAAAAATTAAGTGGAAAATATTGAAATGTTTTGATGATTCACATGAGATTTGGAAAGCAAAAAAGCTATTATGAAATCCGTTTTTATATTTAAAATGACTCTAAATGTTTAATTTAGAAGAATGTGTATGTTCACCATTCTCTGTTATAGAAATTTGAAGCCAATTTTTATAGTGATCACTGCATTGGCTATTCAATTAATAAAGGATTAAGCTATATTTTCCTATTAAACATTTTTAAAGAAATATTTCAAATTAATTTTAACCTGCATGAAACTGAAGTTTTGAATTTTTGATTGTATAGTTTTTTTGTTTTGTTTTTTTTTCTCCAAGGAAATTGAAAATAATCTTTGCTCTATAATATTTAAGAAATTGTTTTTGGTAAACTATTTTCAGACTCTCCACAGATAAATGCCATCTGGTGAATAGATTAACTACTTTTATATATTGAAAATAATTGTGCAACTGCCACTAAACAAAAAATAGAATGTTTAATATATACTTAACATTTTTTCCTAACAAGAAAACAGTACAGTTTTATAACCTGTCATTAAAAGAAAATGAAAATTTTAATATCTAGGAAGTATATCCAAATTCCTTATGTCTGTTGCTCCCTGTTCCTTTTGTTATATTAGGAAGAGGTCATATTAGGTTTTGGCTTCTAGAACCAACTCTTGGATTTAGTATTACTGTACCAATCATTTTCTCCTCTCTCCATCTTTAGTGAGCTTGAATTCTTTGAGACAACTGATCAACATTTCATTTTTGTGATTGTTTAAATCTTAAGGTCTAGGACATGTGGTATGTCTGTGTTGGAATGTGTCACGAAAAAAATAAATGATTTCGTCTCTTTTTCTCCTGCTGTCGTAGCGACAGACACAGTCTCCACTTCTTAGACTGAAAAAAACTGCCCTCCTTCTCATTCCAGCCCTTTACATAGAGCTTGGTAACTCACCTATGCAAAACACCAACAAGCCAGCTACCAATCACAGTTCCCGCGCCTTCCCACCTCCCCTCACTTTGGGGGTGTCAAGTTGACCGACCAACTCATTACACGCCCCCCTGATCTTAGATCACAAAGCTTTTCAGTTTGAGAGATGGTTGCGTCTGTCTGGTGACTGCGTCCGCATATATACAACTTGCACGCTTGACACATTAGGATAACCACACATGCGTGAACTCGTTTGCTCCGAGGTGGCAGATTTCCAGATTCATACCGTGTCTCGCTGTCATGATCGCACACCGTGCAACTCGGGGCAGGCCTCTTCTGCCGGGCACTCCTTCTGAGCGGGATGACAGGGTCCTCATCCTCAGATGAACTCTCATTCGTTGAGCTACCATCCGCCTCTGGACAGCTGGCCACGTTGACGTCTGTAGGTAGAGTACTGATGTTTGAGATAGAACTCAGTGGATTTGACTTTAAATACACCACTCGTGCACCATCTTCAGAGTCACTTCCATCATCTGATGATGGTTTTAACCCTACAACTGGCGATGAACGCCGAGTGCGCCGATGTGTGTTTTATTCAACGGCGGGCTTAGCGTTTATCACAGCGCCCGGGTCCGGGTTGGTTTTCTCACGCACTTCTTAGAGGGACAGGTGGCAGAAAGCCACATGAGGCGGAACGATAACAGGTCTGTGATGTCCTTAGATGTCCGGGGCCGCACGTGCGCTACACTGGAGGTATCAGCGGGGACTAGTGCACCAAAAAAGCTTGTGTTGGAATGTGTCACAAAAAAATAAATGATTTTGTCTCTTTCTCTCCTGCTGTTGTAGCGACGGACACAGCCTCCACTTCTTAGACTGAAAAAAACTGCCCTCCTTCTCATTCCAGCCCTTTACATAGAGCTTGGTAACTCACCTATGCAAAACACCAACAAGCCAGCTACCAATCACAGTTCCCGCGCCTTCCCACCTCCCCTCACTTTGGGGGTGTCAAGTTGACCGACCAACTCATTACAGTCTGTAATCCAACAACCTTTGATCCAAGCTATTGCTGGACTGCATAAAATGGCCAGCAAACAAATAGACACCTGTCAGTTATTAAACAATTCAAAAGAGAGAACAATGTATTTTTGTTGCTTGTATGAAAAAAAAAAAAAAAAAAAAAAAAAAGATCTAATTTTATGCTAAAATAAACACTTAAAGCGATACCTAAAGTTTAAAATGAATTTTTAAAAATGAAAAATCTTTTTGGGAGCTTTTATTTGAGCTTTATTTTCAAGCTAATAGATTTAAATTAATATTTCAAATAAGCAAAATATTTAATATTTTACTGTATTTCAAAAACTAAATTGTCTGGATTTTTTTTTTTTTTTTTTTTTTTTTTTTTTTTAAAAAAAAATAGACTGCAGCATCATTTTTAGCTATTCATTGCAATGTAATTCTCTTTTAAAAAAATCTGAAAATATACTTTTCTGACGCTTAACTAGCTGATTTAAAGTTTAATTAATTTGATCTGAAATAAATATTAAATTTTAAAATATCACAGAAATAAATCTTTTTTTTTTTAAACACAGCGGTAGTTTATTTAAGCTGTCTGACCGCTTGGCTGGCAGATGGATATTTATCTAATATTTTTTTATGGTGGCTATCTGTAAAAAATAATTGAATAATATGTCAGTGCTTTTTATTATATATATATATATATATATATATATATATATATATATATATATATATATATATATATATATATATATATATAAACTTTTAGTACTTGATCTTAAAACTGAAAGAAAATATTCTCCATAATCTAATGTTTTATTGAAGTTTAGATAATTTGGCTTTAAATTTACTATAGTTATCCCTCTTTTCTTTTATGACGTTTAGTGCATTTTCTCATCATTGTATGCTTTTTTTTTTCTTTTTTTCTTGGTGAATCCGTAAAGGTACATATTTACATTTCTTTCTGAATTTCTGGAATGAAGTGTTATCATTATTTATATGTAGACTATTGTCATAATCTTTGTTGTCATCAACAACAAAGATGAAGGCATGTGAATAAACATTTCAAAGTTGTCAAATTTAGAATTCAATTTGGTTAGGTTTTACACAACTGTTTTAATTAGTCAGGATTTTTAAACTAAGTTGAAACTGAACCAAAGACCTAGTGGTAGATCCATAAACTACTGGTGGCAATTTCAAAATGTACCAGGTCACTAGAAGTCACTAGATTAAGGAAGTAGTACCTGTATTTTTATTTTTCATTTGGTTTGAGTGTGTGGCCTTTGTCAAGGTTGACATTCAATATACCAGCTATTTTGTTAGTCATTGGACAAGTAAAGGAAATGTCAGACACTCTAGATTACCCAAGGTTTTTATTCTTCTTCCCTGGCATGACTATGGTGGAGATAACTAGCAGTGTAACAACAATACAAGAACTGGATTCAAGTTTTTCCCTAAGAAATTATTGTGAAACTCACAACAGAATTAGAAATGTTTATAAATTAGATTTCCAGAGTTGGTTAACTTGTATTTTCTATCATTTATAGGTAAGAGAGAATGCCTATATATTGTGTAATCAACTGCTTCCACCTAAAACCTTTTAACATTGACAGTCTTTGTTTCATTTAGCAGTATTTAGTGAAGCTTTAGAATTTGTGATAGAAAAAAAAAGTTAGTGTTCACTTCAGCCATATATTCAAGTACATTGTCATTTATTAATGTGTAGTTACCATATTTAGTTAAAAAAAAAAAAGCAAGTTTAAGTGTATATTTGTGACAATAGTATGTTAATTATGTTTTTACCATTATTGATTTTTAGACGGACATGACTGCTGAAGAAAAGAGACAGAATCACCAGAAAGAATTGTCTCACAAAATTAATGAAGAAGCCAGGGAACGGCTTAAAGGCATGAAGCAAAGTGGAGAAGACAAAAAGTAAGTACACCCACTCCACGCTTAATGTAACCTTTTAACAACCCCTGGACTTAAATATATTCAACTAATCAGTATGATTGTTTTCTCTTTCTTTGAAATGAATCAAAATTAATAAAATGAATGAATAAAGTGAAAAATAAATAATTTTCTTGTATTTGCAGTAGGCAAACTGAACTAATGTACAGAATATAGAACTGATTTTCAAATTTGTTTATCATCTTTACTGTTCAGTATGCTACTGCATAAATATTTAGAAATGTTACAAATGGTGCAAAAGGGACATTAAAACTCTCTGAAGTTTGTTGACACAAACTTATTACTTGTATAGTATACCTAAAATAGGCAGGTACAACCTCTCACTTAGCAATCAGCTCATTGGAATTGAACCTAGTTGTTGAGCGAGGGGGTGACTAATTGGAATCTTGCTATTTATAATTGGTATTTGGCTAAAATACATTTCAGTCTATCTGTTAGTCATCTTTAAATGTTAGTAAGTCAATATATTTTAATATTGTGATGACAAATAAAGAACTGCAGAATTGGTGAGAGTAAAAATGTATATCCAGGTTAAAATCCTGACGAAATTTGATTCCTTCTGGTATGTGTCTATATTTCTGAGATGTATTGTAATTATTTACACTATTTACATTGTTTGGACTGTTGTCCTCATCTTTGTTGCCATATTCACAACGTTTTGGCCATTGTATGTTCTGGCCTTCAGATAGTTGGAATTTCGAACAGAACCCTTTATTTCGTCTATTGGGGTAGGTTATTCTAGTTCCATATGCCCTTTGATTTTTGATTTGAAAATTTCAGTGTATAATGTTGACCCTAACCCTAATATACACCAGTGAATTAAGTCCATTAAGGAGATGCTTGAAAAATAGTTAAAAAATTTTATCTAATTTTTTTTTTTTTTTTTTTTTAGTATATAAAGGTTATGATAGTTTTATCAATAAGTCTACAATCTAAATGAAGAAGAAAAAAAATTGTGCAACAAAATTTTTCTTTTCTCCTTATCAATTTTTCTACATTGATCAAAACCCTTTAATACTCTTATGTAAAGAAGTCATTTGGATGGTTTTTAAAAAATCAAACTTTATTCATTGTTTACTTTACACTTTGTTTCAGGATTCGAAAATCTAACGTCTCTTATCGCAATGTTTCACACATGCCCCAAGAATCTGAAGTAAGAGAATTAAAAATCTATGTGGGTAAGTTTATCAATTTCTTACAAATTACATTTAAGTAAGCAATGATGAAATCATCTTAGTTAAACTTAGTAGCAGCAAAAATATTTTTTTTTTTTTTTTTTCATGGTTACTTTGTGTGTGTATGTGTGTGGTAGTGAATGATTGATATGCCACTTGAGGAAATTGATTAATTTCCTTTCAGTCTGTTTGGCACTCAAGTTTCCCAACATTTCCCATATCTTGAAATTTTCACCAAGAAATAGAGAACCTGATTTTCTATTAATGATCGTGATGGAATGTTGGTAGTTAATATTTGATAGATAAAATAACATCGCATTTACTTTTGTCATTTTGTGCCCTGTTAATTGGGTATTGATCCACCCACCAGTTTATTATTCAACTTTTATGAACTTAATTTGATAGATAAGTTTTTGTAATACCCCAGTATTTATGAGATTAATTTTCAACATTATTTTTATACCTCTTTAAGGATTACTTTTTTTTTGGTTTTAATTGCTTTTTATCCCCAAATTTTGTTAGAAATAAATAAATAACTTCTAATGAGACCTAATTTGCATGCCATATTCAGTGACCATGTCTAAAGTATGGCAGATTTGACACATGCCCCTTTTGCCACTGAACACTCTTCCATTAAAGTCATCCAAGACCACCTTAGGTAATGCAAAATAAATTTTCATCAGATATCTGTCCCTAATTATCATCTGTGAGATGCATTAGGATGACCATATATAAATGATTAGGTAAAAATACAATGCTTAAAGCTTCATGAACATATACTCTACATTTCCTTTGCTTGATACCAATTGGTAATAAAGCCATTCTCCTGTGTAAACTAAGTAGGTAGCTTAGAATTTTGTGCAAAATCATGAAATTTAATTTAAAAACTGCAGGTCACCATCCATATCTGGTAGTTGGACAATTTCAGAGCTTGCCATTCTTCAGTAAATATCCCCTTGCTCACATGTCAACAAAAACTTGGCTATATTTAATTTTGGTTTATCATCTTATACTTGCCTTTTTTGTTTTTCCAGACAAGAAATATGAAACTATCATCTTACCCATTTTTGGTATTCCATCCCCATTTCATATATCCACAATCAAAGTAAGTGATCTTTTCCTTTTCATAACAATATTTTGTCTTTATTCTAAATCAATAACAAAATATCTTTTTCTAAATCAAACCTTGTTGAATCAACAGCTTGAAGTAGGACAGCAATTTTATTTGTAAAATGAAGCCAAAGATAACCAACACAAGGACTATTTATATATTTAAACTGAAATGGCACAAATATTTAATGAAATTGAAACTGTCCAGGCGATCTTGTCATCACTCGTGCAAACCAGATTTTACAGTGTTGATCTCTGAGAAATTACGGTTTTATCCTTTTATGGCTATGCTGATGGCAAATTAGTGTGACTTGTTCCATATAGATATCAGTGAACTTCTGGGATGAGGGGTTATCTTAATCTTTATCATCACAATGCTTCAGCTGTTGTCTCCACTCTTCTTCAGGTGTCTGTTAATCCAGGTAATCTTCAAGGAATTTTGAACTGAATTCATTAATGTATTGGAGTAGATTGTTCTCATTCCACTGTGGTTGTCTAGGAATATTTCTATTTTATTTTTGGATTTTTTTTTTTTATGGTACACAGTTATTACTCATTCACTTTCCATTGAGTACTAATCAGTCCTAGGATAGAGCTTGCAATTACTATGGCACTATCTCATCTTTATTTTTTGATTTCTTTTTATTTCAGAATATCAGTCAGTCTGTTGAGGGAGATTACACATATCTCCGAATCAATTTCTTTCATCCAGGATCTGCTCTTGGCAGAAATGATGGCAGTGTTTTTCCCAATCCAGAAGCCACCTTTCTCAAAGAAATGTAAGTAAATACTTGCTACCTATAAGATCTTGAAGCTCTTTGAAATATAGGGACAGTTTTTATTGCATTTGTATGTTGTCTAGTGTGCATGTCTTTTGTTGTCTTAATGTTTTGTTTGTACAAGTACACGTACATACTCATTCTACTTAGAAATGTCACGTTAAACAGTTGTTTCATCCAAGACTGAGCATTTTATTTATACTTGTGTGATCTGTCAATTTTTCTTTATTCTTCTAATTAATAAAAACGTTCTCAAAAAGATTTAATATGATGGAGAGAGTGGGAGGGTTGAGAACTTTTTGATTCTGAAATTTTTTATGTCATTTGCCTTTGTTTCATTATCCATTCAGTACTTACCGAAGCTCTAACACAAAAGAACCTGGAGAAATCTCTGCACCATCATCGAATCTCAATACTGCATTCAGGTTGATCAAAGAAGTTCAGAAAAAGTTCAAAACCAGAGAGGCAGAGGAACGTGAAAAAGAGGTACTTTTTTTTTTTTTTTTATATATAAGATTTTGTTTTATATTTATTTTTTTGTCACTGTTGAATTAAAGATTGTAATTAGACTCTGGGTAATTACTCTTTGCCAAGGCCACCTTTTAAGAATGGATTAAAATCTTGTATGCAATTTATTAAAACTCTGATTCCAACTTTATTTTTATGAAAGATCTTAATGTAAAAACAAAAAAGGGAGGAAGAAGCTAAAATTAATGCGAAATATAGCGGTCAACAAGGGGAATAACCATGAAAGATTAATCGAAAATGATCTCCCATGATAAATAAAATTGAAGATCTGTTTAGAAACCATTGATTGGTATTTTTTAACACCCTCCAAGGCCAGGGTCGGTTTATTGTCTCTCACCTCTACACTTGCATGTAGATGATGTCAAAAATTGCACCATTTGTGTGGTCATGGCTGTCAATATCAGAGTATACTCACTAGTCCTACTCTCTTCTAGTGCAAGGGAAAGCTACTACTGCAGAGTTGAAATTTCTAGGGACCAGGCACATTTCAGTTGTGCTATCTCACTTGAAGTTATGATCAGACAGGATTTGGCTAAAAGGTTGGAAAGGTTCATAATCTAGTATAGGGTTCAGTGTTTTATTTTATAAGTTAGTGCTGTAAACACTACTGTTTTGCCATGGTTTATTTATTCCATCATGTTTTTGAAAGTGTCAATTGTTTCCATGAGCTTTTTCAATTAAAAGTTTGTCTTGAACATTAAAGATGTTCATTTTCTTTGTTTACAGGGAATTGTCAAGCAAGATATTCTGATAGTTAATCCAAACAGGGGAAACCCCAAATTCAAGGACCTCTATATTCGACCAAATATTGTTTCTAAGCGAATTTCAGGAACTCTCGAAGCTCACACAAACGGTATGTAGTTGTCCTGCAGGTTTATTTACCAAGAAGACATTCTGACTAGACCACAAATGCTTCTTTCCTTTCATATGTGGCTTGCTAATATCTGTGTGATGGCATCTGCAAATGCATTCACTTGACCAAGGTGTAAGAAATTCCATCCAAATTGAATATTTATTTCTGATGGCTTCTCAGGTCGGGTATAAAATGTATGTTTGTTTAAATTATTTTAGTTGGGAAGGTAAGGAACATATTCCTAATGCCAAGACACTTGTAATGTTTACCATCATTAAATTAAGTATAGTTTAATTTTGGCACAAGTCCACAAATATGGAGACACCCAGTGAGGATCAAACACCCTAATAATAATCTAAAGGTTGAGATTGTTGACTATTACACCATGATGATAGGTCCCCATACATAAGGGACAAGTCTAGCAATCTTGCTAGCCAGGGATTATTAAGCATGTTGAGTAGCATAAGCATCATGTGGTAGTGTTTATTCTGCTTGAGCAGTGCATCCCTTTCCTCTTGCAAGATTGATGGCAGAACAGGTTGAAACCGTTCTTCGTTCTTTCTTCTTTTTTTTCGTTCTTCCTTCTTTTTTTTCGTTCTTCCTTCTTTTTTCGTTCTTCCTTCTTTTTTCGTTCTTCCTTCTTTTTTTTCTTCCTTCTTTTTTTTCTTCCTTCTTTTTTTTCTTCCTTCTTTTTTTTCTTCCTTCTTTTTTTTCTTCCTTCTTTTTTTTCTTCCTTCTTTTTTTTCTTCCTTCTTTTTTTTCTTCCTTCTTTTTTTTCTTCCTTCTTTTTTTTCTTCCTTCTTTTTTTTCTTCCTTCTTTTTTCGTTCTTCCTTCTTTTTTTCGTTCTTCCTTCTTTTTTCGTTCTTCCTTCTTTTTTCGTTCTTCCTTCTTTTTTTCGTTCTTCCTTCTTTTTTTTCTTCCTTCTTTTTTTTCTTCCTTCTTTTTTTTCTTCCTTCTTTTTTTTCTTCCTTCTTTTTTTCGTTTCTTCCTTCTTTTTTTTCTTCCTTCTTTTTTTTCTTCCTTCTTTTTTTTCTTTTTTTTTTTTCGTTCTTCCTTCTTTTTCGTTCTTCCTTCTTTTTTTTCGTTCTTCCTTCTTTTTTTTCGTTCTTCCTTCTTTTTTTTCGTTCTTCCTTCTTTTTTTTCGTTCTTCCTTCTTTTTTTTCGTTCTTCCTTCTTTTTTTTCGTTCTTCCTTCTTTTTTTTCGTTCTTCCTTCTTTTTTTTCGTTCTTCCTTCTTTTTTTTTCGTTCTTCCTTCTTTTTTTTTTCGTTCTTCCTTCTTTTTTTTTCGTTCTTCTTTTTTCGTTCTTCCTTCTTTTTTTTTTCTTCCTTCTTTTTTTTTCGTTCTTCCTTCTTTTTTTTCGTTCTTCCTTCTTTTTTTTCGTTCTTCCTTCTTTTTTTTCGTTCTTCCTTCTTTTTTTTCGTTCTTTCTAAAAATAATACATAAATTACTCTTCTGTTAACTTGGGGCACAGTGCATATTAGTGTGCCTGGGTGCACCAGTTGAGAAATGCTGGGTTGAACAGTATCCTGGATGTACATTTTTCCAGAAACACCAATGGCAAGCAAGAGCCATCTTTTTATAGCACCCTCTGCACTGTTACTAGTGATTGGGTGGGGCCTGTATGTTATGGGCACACTTTGGAAGATGTCGCTCTCCACATCTTTCCCCTGCAAATGACCATTGTTTAATCAGTGAACTTTGCAGAGCACCATATTATTCTTCAAGTGACTGCCTCTCACTGCTACTGGAAGCATGTATGACAGTGTTGTAGTGTAAATGAAAGTTTGGTTAGAGGCACAAATGCTTGTAGTTCTGCAAGTAAACAGTCAATGGTAGCATGGATCTATCATATTGCTAATCGGAACTTGATCTTATCACTATTGAAGCTCATACACACATCAGAATATCTACTGCTTAACAAGTGCACAACACTATCCAGATAAAAATTGGAATTGATTTTTAGTGTGTTGCAATTTTATTTTTCATATCTATAATTCATACAGTATTAATATTGTCAGACAAATTTAGGTATGAATTATTCAATGGTGACCTGAATGAGTGCATCCTTTTACAAAATGTTAAAATATTTTCTTACTATTGAAGAGTGTGTTTTTTTTTTTTTTTTTTTTTTCTTTCAGTCATCACCTTTTTTGCTTTAAAATTGATAAGGTAACATGAATGTGTGTCTCTTTCTTTCTCTCTCTCTCTCTCACATTATATATATATATATATATAAACATTAATAGCTAAAACCTTGTTTCTTTCTTGCCTGTTTATGATTTACAAGCATTTTATGTAAACACATAATGTCAAATTAGCTTGATTGGTAATACTTGGTTCACCTAAAATAAAAAGATGATTACTTTCAAGCAATCTTTTTCTCTGAATTTTTTGAGTAATATCATTAATTTGTTTATTTATAAGATAGTCCTGATATTTTAAAGTTGTTTTGCAGGTTTCCGTTTTACATCAATACGTGGAGATAAAGTTGATATTTTGTACAATAACATAAAGCACGCATTTTTCCAGCCTTGTGACGGAGAAATGATCATCCTGTTACATTTTCACCTAAAAGTAAGTAAATGTTACATTAGGTAGTTTCTCTTTTTCTGCAGGAGAATGATTGGATAGTATTCTTCTCCCTTCCCTCCCTACACATTTATTTTATATATGAAAGGTATGTGACTTTTTTTGATAGCATATTAACTAACACACACACACACACACACACACACACACACACACACAGAGGGTGCTACAGATAATTTTTACCGAAATTACACAAAAATAAATAGCAAATTTATTCAATAAAATCACTATTGGCTTTAATTATGGCCTCCAGATGAGTCTGGAATTGCATGCAACTCTTCTGGATGATGATCTTGTTTACGTTGGTGAATACTGCTATAATCCTTGTATTTAGTTCATCTTTGGTGTTACAAGGTGTTTTGTAAGCCTTTTGCTCCACTGTGCCCCACACATAATCAAGGCGGCTGCATTCTGGGAAGTTAGGTGGTCAGTTTCTTATCAGAATGATCAGAGTGAGTTTTCTGAGCTGCTGTATCTTCATAATCACCATTAGACTCATCAAACTGTTTCTGAATCCTCTACGCTGTCCTCAGATTGACACCCTGAAGTGTTCGTATTGGAGCACCTGGTACAAATGCCACGCAGTACAGCATGCCATTTCCAAATTTCTGGTGGAGTGAATTAAATCATGGTGCTCTTTTTCTCACAGTGCCCAACTGACCCTACTATACTGTGCAGTCAGCAAAAACAAACAACATGCATGTGCAAAATTAAAAATTTAAATGGCAACAATTTACTCATCACACCCTGTATATGATCTTGCTTTTTTTCCCCTTTTTTTCTTCTTTGTAGCTTTCATAAACCCAAATGCTTTTATTCATAATTTTTGTACTTTCAGCTGAAATGAAAATTCTTTTATTTAACATATTCCTTTTATCTGTTGAAGTAAAATGAAAAATTTGGGTTATTTCTTTTCAGCATGCTATTTTATTTGGTAAGAAGAAACACATTGATGTACAGTTCTACACAGAAGTGGGTGAAATCACCACAGATTTAGGCAAACACCAACATATGCATGACAGGGACGATCTTCGAGCTGAACAAGTGAGTATGATCACTTAAAATCCAGCTGAATTTTTCTTTTTCCTTTGGTGATGAAGTATTATCTTATCACCTTTCTCCCATTGCTGTTTTTCTTTACCTTTATTTGTACAACTTAGTTTTTTATCCAAAGAAAAATTCATGTTCCAAACTTGCAAGCCAAAAATGAGCAATAAAAGAAATTAAAACATTTCTGAATTTCAGTCTCCAAGACAAACATTCTAATCTTGACAATTTTCTTTTTTCTTTGTAATAAGGCAATAACATGAAAATACTTTGTCAGAGTACGATAATGAATATCTATTGTTAAAAATGAGAAAATCTCATTATCAGAGACATTTGAAGTTGCTACTTTAATGATTTCCAACAACTTTTTTTTTCTGTGTGTAGGAAGAGGTATTTTTGCAAAATAAGCTTTAAATAACAATATACTTTGCATTTAATTCTCTAACATGTAATTTTGTTGTTTTCAGGCTGAGAGAGAGCTTAGGAACAAATTGAAATCAGCCTTTAAGAGTTTCTGTGAAAAAGTTGAAAATATCACCAAGCAAGAAGTGGAGTTTGACACCCCATTCAGGGAACTAGGTTTCCATGGAGCTCCTTTCAGGAGCACAGTCCTGCTGCAGCCCACTAGTGGCTGCCTCGTTAACCTTACTGATTGGGTAAGTTTCTCTTGCCTGAGCAACTTGTGCATGCAGCAAAAAGGTGAATTGTAATTACATGGATTGAAGGAATTTGGAAGAGGAAAAGATGATTGACTCTAAGCCATCCTTAGTAGGGTTACTAATTTGTGTGCGTGAGAAAAACACAAAAGTGACCAGTTTCATCACCAATGGTTTTTCCAGAAGTACCTCCTCATTGATCATATAGAATACCTAATTTGGATTTTTCTCTTTTTGTAAGATTAGCTAATTATTATTACTCTGCAGTAAGTGCCCATATATGCTACTTTGTATGGAAAAAGGCTATATCTGTGCATGTAAAATAAAATTCACTTCTCAATGGGCTTTTGTAAAATTTAACAAAAAATGTGTGCACCTAATCTCTTTTGAATTTTTGTACACAGACTGAAGAATCTGTGTAAACAAAACAATATACACACATAATGAGTGTTGAAGACTCAAAGCTTTTCAGAAAACATTTATCATTACTTTTCTTTCAGTTACTGTATGTCACATTTCAAGACATTAATTTTTCTGATTTGCCATGAAAATTAATTACTATACAATAACTTACAGTAATAAATTTCTCTTTCTAAAATATTTTATGTTCATTAAATTTTCTCCATAACAGTAATCAATAATTGTAATTATTTACAATATTTTCAAGTATTTAAACTTAGACTGTTTTAAAAATATCCTGAGAGAAAGACAAGCATAAGGTGGGCCAAAAGTTGTGCTAATATGGGAAAAGAGCACACACTTCTTAAGCAGTAAATTGAGGTCATTTGTATGGCATGATCTTCATAAAATATCCCAATGTTATGCACAAAATCATTTTTATTAAATACCAATGACTTTTGGGCTGCTCTATAGATTTATTTTGCTTTAAGTAACATCTAAATTAAAAGTGTTGATTTTTATTTTGTGACTCTTTTAGCCTCCATTTGTGGTATCCCTGGATGAGGTAGAGTTGGTTCACTTTGAGCGAGTGCAATTCCATCTGAAGAATTTTGATATGGTGTTTGTGTTTAAAGATTATAGCCGAAAAGTGGCAATGGTAAATGCTGTTCCAATGAATATGTTGGACCATGTAAAAGAATGGTTGAAGTAAGTTAAACTTTTGAACTTTTCACTTTTTTCTTAATGAGTTTTTATTTTTTTATTATGTGAACTCAACATTTTATAGTCAGTGGTGTAGACTGGAGGAGGAATGATGTTCCTTCTATTCTTTATTTTTATCATCAAGTTAACTGAAATGATGCTCTGTAGTTGTATGTGGGGAATTGGACTACCCCTAAAATGTGGGGTTTTTTTTTTTTTTTTTTTTTTTTTTTTTTTTTAACTTTCCCAAGCTAATCAGCAAGTGATAAGTCATATAGAAAAGCAATTCCATAATATATTTTACTATTTTTAGTGCTGCATCATATTTCTGTGGATATTTTAATTCACTGAAACACACAACAGTTTGCATGGTCCAAATTGTGAACTACTGAAATACCTCTGACTTATGGAATAATTAAATGTGTAGCATTCTCACATGTGACAAATCTAGGCCCATTTAAGTTAAGTTATTGATATTTCCAGAGACAAGAGTTCATTTTCAATGGTGGCACATCAATTTGAATGAAGCAAGATTTTTCTTTTTCTTTTTTCGTCAACGTCGCAGTAATGTGAATGCTGTTAAAATTCTTAAATTCAGCAAGAAAACAATTGTTTCAGATTGCTTTTGTGCTGAACTCAAGAATTCTGCATCATTAGAATAATAATAAATTAGAATAATGAAATCATGTTAATCTGTAAGATATTTAGAAATTGTATATCAGGATTAATACAAATATGAAATGTATTACTTAGTTGATTGATGCTATATTCAGCACTTCAGCTCAGAGATTTGTAGTTCATCTCCACTTGTCAGGAGGTACCAGCAATTGACTGCTTATTTTCTCCTTTTTATATTATGTTAAAAAATAATTTATGCATTTTTTTTTTTTTTTTTTTTTTTTTTTGGTGTATGGTTGATTGATCGATTTATTTTTTCTCTCTGTGTTTGTGTCTCTGAGTGTCAAAATGTAACAATCCGGTGTCATAGACTGCTTTTAATTTTTATCTAGAATATTCTGTGATTTTCTTACATTTTGAAAATGTAGTAGGTGTATTCTATGTTTTTTTTTTTTTTTTTTTTTTTTCTTTTTCCTTTTTCCTTTTTTTTTTTTTTTTCCTTTTTTTTTTTCCTTTTTTTTTTTTTTTTTTTCCTTTTTTCTTTTTTCCTTATCTTTTTCCTTTTTCCTTTTTTTTTTTCCTTTTTTTTTTTCCTTTTTCCTTTTTTCCTTTTTTTCCTTTTTTTTTTTTCTTTTCTTTTTTTTTTTTTTTTTTTTTTTTCTTTTTCTTTTTTCTTTTTTTTCTTTTTCTTTTTTTTTTTCTTTTTTCCCTTTTTTCCTTTTTTCTTTTTTCCCTTTTTTTCCTTTTTCTTTTCCTTTTTTTCTTTTCCTTTTTTTTCTTTTTCTTTTTCCTTTTTTTTTCCTTTTTTTTCCTTTTCTTTTTCCTTTTTTCTTTTTTTTTCTTTTTTCTTTTTTTTTTTCCTTTTTCTTTTTTCCTTTTTCTTTTTTTTTCTTTTTTTTTTTTTCTTTTTTCCTTTTTTTCTTTTTTCCTTTTTCCTTTTTTTTTTTTTTTTTTTTTTTCTTTTTTTTTTTTTTTTTTCTTTTTCTTTTTCCTTTTTCCTTTTTCTTTTTTTCCTTTTTTTCCTTTTTCTTTTTTCTTTTTCTTTTTTTCCTTTTTCTTTTTCCTTTTCTTTTTTTCTTTTTTCCTTTTTTCTTTTTCTTTTCTTTTCTTTTTTTTTTCTTTTCTTCTTTTTTTCTTTTCTCTTTTTTCTTTTTTCTTTTTCCTTTTTTTTTTTTTTTTTTTTCTTTTTTTTTCTTTTTTTTTTTCTTTTTTCCTTTTTTTTTTTTTCTTTTCTTTTTTTCTTTTCTCTTTTTCTTTTCTTTTTTTTTTTTCTTTTTCTTTTCTCTTTTTTTTCTTCTTTTTCTTTTCTCTTTTTTCTTTTCTTTTTTCTTTTCTTTTTTTTTTTTTCTTTTTTTCTTTTCTCTTTTTTTTTTTTTCTTTTCTCTTTTTCTTTTCTTTTTTTTTTTTCTTTTTTTCTTTCTCTTTTTTCTTTTCTCTTTTTTTTTTTTTCTTTTTTTTTTTTTTTTTTTTTTTTTTCTCTTTTTTTTTTTTTTTTTTTTTCTTTTTTTTTTTTTTTTTTTTTTTTTTTTTTTTTTTTTTTTACTTTTTACTTTTTTTTTTTTTTTTTCTTTTTTTTTTTTTTTTTTTTTTTTTTTTTTCTTTTTTTTTTTCTTTTTTTTTTTTTTTTTTCTTTTTTCTTTTTTTTTTTTTTTTTTTTTTTTTTTTTTTTTTGCTTTTTACTTTTTTTTTTTTTTTTTTTTTTTTCTTTTTACTTTTTTCTTTTTTTCTTTTTACTTTTTTCTTTTTTTCTTTTTACTTTTTTCTTTTTTTCTTTTAAATGTTTAATGGCAAGGTAAATATTTATGTCCTGACTTACCCATTATTTCGTTTTTATTTGATTTGGTGGTATCTTAAGTATTAGGGTATTAATTATACAAGGTTAGGTTTCTAGTTAAATTTTATTTTTACATACACGCAAAATTTCAGCTTATATCTGTAACAGGACTATGAATTCATATATAATATATATATATATATATATGTGTCTGTGTGAACACATTAATGTTTAAATGGTAAAGTAATTTTATTTTATGTATTCACTTATCCATTTTTCTTTGAAAAAATATATATACACATAATTAATTTTTAGATGTTAAGTACTTTGTCCTCATTTAGCTGTAACATCATTGTAAAAAATGTATGCTAAGTATGCTTTTATGTTATTTACTATGCTTAACTTAACTGAGTATAGGAGTAAAAAGATTGTTTAGCTAATCTTCCAAGTGGGAGGGACTACCTACCTTTTAAAAGCAGTATTTATAATTCTGGTTTGGAATTAAGCACAGACTTCCAGTACTGGTGGAAAATATTTAAATGAATCATCAAGTAGGCTAATCTAATTTATTACAAATTTATTTAACATTTTTATCCCACTTGTTAATCTTTACTATAACTTGATTTGTATGTTTTGGTTTTAGTTCATGTGATATCCGCTACACTGAGGGGATTCAGAGTTTGAACTGGACAAAGATCATGAAGACCATCACTGATGATCCTGATGGATTTTTTGATAATGGTGGCTGGAGTTTCCTGGAACCAGAAAGTGATGCTGAAGATGAAGAAGATGAAGAGGATGAAGATGACGCTTATGTCCCTAGTGATGACAGTGGAGAAGAGGAAGCAAGTAGTGAAGAAGACAGTGAAGAAAGCAATTGGGAAGATGAAGAATCAGGTAATGATTTTGATCAGATTTTGTTGATTTTCTCTGGTGATAACTTGTCAGGGTTGGAAAAAAGAAGTAGATTATCTTTTTTTAAATGAAAATTAGTTTACATTATAGAATATAGTGTGAAGCGCAAGGCTGCAAACTGCAGTGAATATGTGTATAAAATAAATTTAATGCTGTCCTTGTTAGTTTAGTCTGATGTGTTGGGAAATTTAAATGAAAATATAAAGTGTTGATAGTTTGGGAGCAGGGGAATCAGTATCTCCTTGTACATATTCAGTTTTTTTTTTTTTTTTTTTTTTGATATCTGCCTATGTATTGGTAGAAAGCCATATGCTTTCTACACTCAACTCTATGCAGTAAGGAATTTGGGATAATAGTGTTTGCATGGTGTGTATATAAATTTGTAAATTGTGCCAGAAAAAAGTTTGTGAATTTAAAAGATAGATTTATTTAACCACATATGTACTGCTTTATGATTCCATCTTCCCAGAACTTGACATCTTTTTGGGTAAAGAAATGATCCATGTGATTTTTAAAGACTGAAGTTCTTCCCATTAAGAGAATTTTGTAAGGATTGAAATTAGTGGTTATCCACGGGTGCAGTGTCATGCATGTATGATGGTTGTAGTAGGACATACCAACCAAGCTGTATCAGTTTCTGCTGGGTCTACAAAAAGACGTGAGGTTTGGTGATGTTCTGATGGAAAATAACTCCCTTTTAGTTTGCCAATTCTGCACACTTCAGATACATAGACTTTTAATGTGGTTAATGATCTTTTACGGTCTTTTTCAATCCACATTGTTGTAAACAATCCATTTTTTCTTGTCCTTTTTTACTTTAAAAAAATGTTATTTTTGTTACATTTGAACAAAGGATTGCAGACGGAAATACTATGAATTTAATTTTTTTTTTTCTGTTAAATTGAGGTGCCCAAACATAGTAATGGAATTCATGGGATGTGGTGTATCTCTGTAATATTCTAATATATGTAATGATATATGTGACCTGGATTATTTTTAATTGGTATTTTGATTGGGTCATGATCAAAACTGAAAGACATATCATTTCAGAACAGTCCTCTCAGCTATGGCTCCATCTCCATAAGTGGCACATATCATTTTTTGGCTGTTTGTCCAACATTTTTCCTTGCTGGAAATGAAAAACAATCAAATTACAAAAATGTACTCTATTTTCAATTTAACTTAAACATGTTTAAAATTCACAGTTCATGCATATTATATAGAAAGAGGCCTTGAAATATCACTTATATATCAAATTCATAATAAATATTCTTTTGGTGGTTTTGTTTTCATTAAGCATATATTTCTTTAAATTGTTTCATTCTTTTCTCTGTAGGTTCTGATTATGACGATCTTGGTTCAAGTGAGGAGAGTGGCAAAGACTGGGATGAATTAGAAGAGGAGGCCAGACGAGGTAAAGATATTTTTCTTTTTGTGTAAAGAAAGCAAATTACAAGGAGCTTAATTAATCTTTTAATGCCCCCAGTAAATGTCAATATTCTCTCCTTAGAATAATTCTATCAAGTTCATATGGAAAGAAAAATTATGCTTGTATGGAAAATGGGCAAAAACAAAGCATGAGAAAAGCAAAGGAGAAGTGAGTTTTAAGCTATTTAGGGAAGTAAAAACTCAAATTGTGATAGCTGTTGAATATAAAGAAAGGAGGGATGTGGGGGACTAACATTGTCATTTTATTAATGCATTAAAAAAATTAAAAAAAAAAAAAAAAAACATTGCCTTACTGTTAAGTGTGTCTGTATTGAAGACTACAAAGACCATTTTTAAATAATTTTTATTAATTTTTTTTCTTTTTTGTTTTCATATCAAAACAACATATACATTTGTTCAACTACATTGCTTTCACTTAGACTATCCTGTCATTTATCAATGTCATAAATGCTTATATTAATTAATATAGCATGCAAAATCATATTCCTACCAATATAAGGTAGGTGATTGTAAACAATGCATAAATTGGAAAAGGGTACTGTAAACACTTAAATTGTACAAAACCAGAAATACATTAAATGTACTTCAGTTAAGAAACTTGCAATTTGTATTTGACAAAGCTACAGGTTGGATTAAGATATTGTAAATGGCTAGTCCCCATATATATATATATATATATATATATATATATATATATATATATATAAAAATGTGTGTGGGCGCGCTTAGGTGTTTGTATGCTGTTTTTTTTTTTTTTTTTTTTTTTTTTTTTTAATATTTGTGCATGTATGTGTATTCCTTTGTGTGCTTGCTCTGATTTTCTTCTAAATATACAATGAAAAATAAAACAAGGTTCATGGGGTTAATCTTCATTTAGTTTATAGAGCTCTTGGTGCAGCAAAAATTAACCCTTTCCTCATCAATCACACTGGGTCTCACTCTAAACTTCTGAAAGAGCTTGGAGAATCAGAGCTTGGAATCGGGAAATCTGGTGTGGCAGCTGATGTGGGTTCTCAGCCCAAGTCTCTGAGCTCCAAAAGTAATCTGCTTATATACCAGTTTTGTGCCGAAGGGTTTGTAGGGATTCAATGATTCTCCTGTCCTCACATTAGTCCCAATAAGGCTTTTTTTGTTCCCTATTTCTGTTTTATTAATCACCTTCCCAGAGAATTATCTATCTTCCTTGGGAATAGTCTTGGGATTGCTCCACCCTTTAACCTGCTTCACTTCAAATCTCACACCACCACTCTACACAGGTGGGGCTAAATTCTGCCTTTTTCTCTTCGTTTTCTAACTCTGCACACTTCTCAGGGCTGGCATAACTCTTTGTGACAAATTTAATTTTTAAAGTGTTTAATTTATTCTCATTAATTTCTCTGATTCTCACTTTCCTAGTATTACCTTTGTCCAGTGAGAAAATAAACCAGACCCCACTGCTTCATATTTTAACCTTCCAAACAATAGATAAAAATTTCTCAATTTCTCAAAAAATTTGTTTACCTAAATTCTCAACAAAGATACACACTGTTCTCCATACTTGGGCTGATCGCCATCTTAGCAGAAACATAATCCAGACCACCTGCCTGTTACAACTGGATTGATTTTCATAATTCTAACCTTACAGCAGGTTTATTCTGTTTTCATTTCTCAATTTGTTTTCACTAATGAAAATGTAATTCCTGTCTGCTTCTATTTTTGCCAATGACATGTGTTTTTTCTAATTTCCCAAGAAAGTGAAAGCCATTTTCCAATTTGCTTTACCCACATGCCAGATTTTTGATAGATAAAAAAAAAAAAAAAGTAAACCAATTCTTGGATGTCTTTTTTTTTTTCTCATAGCTTCAACTTTACCAGAGAAAATGTTTTCCATTCTCTATCTCAAAGTTTATATTTCATTTTAGGCTTAACCCTTTCACTGCTTAGAATTAACATTTAAGCACCTCACAGCTTCATTCTCAGAAATTTTTTTTTTTTTTTTTTACTGCAAAAAGCTATTAAAATTTTCTATGCTAATCTTTACTGTCCCCATTGATGCAAGAAAAAGATTTTTAACCAAAATTCGAATGTGAAGGATTACTCCCCCCAAAAAAAAAACAAAGTAATAAAATAATACTTTGGCCTTTCCTCTTAAATAATACTTTGGTCTTTCCTCTTAAATAATACTTTGGTCTTTCCTCTTAAATAATACTTTGGTCTTTCCTCTTAAATAATACTTTGGTCTTTCCTCTTAAATAATACTTTGGTCTTTCCTCTTAAATAATACTTTGGTCTTTCCTCTTAAATAATACTTTGGTCTTTCCTCTTAAATAATACTTTTGTCTTTCCTCTTAAATAATACTTTGGTCTTTCCTCTTAAATAATACTTTGGTCTTTCCTCTTAAATAATACTTTTGGTCTTTCCTCTTAAATAATACTTTGGTCTTTCCTCTTAAATAATACTTTTGGTCTTTCCTCTTAAATAATACTTTGGTCTTTCCTCTTAAATAATACTTTGGTCTTTCCTCTTAAATAATACTTTGGTCTTTCCTCTTAAATAATACTTTGGTCTTTCCTCTTAAATAATACTTTGGTCTTTCCTCTTTAAATAAAGTTAATAAAAATGGTAGGTTATAAAATATCATAGTGTTCATTTTGTTAAAGTTGAAACTTCAAAAATGTGGAAACTGGAAATTACTTGACAGTTTCCTTACAAAAAAAACTTGATGTGTCAAAGGTTATAATTGTGGTTCAGTGAGGATTGCACTTAACTGTAATATTAATAGCAGCTCATCTTGAACTTTATATTAGGACTCTATTGAGAAAGTAGGTACCAAAAATTTTAAATCTTTAGTCCCAAAGTTACAGACGAGACATCAGGGTGAGGATTAAAACACTAGTGCGATTTGCTCTCTTCATGGCATTTATCCTATGCATTTAACTATTCTGTTATAAGGCCACAATTGTGGAGTCGCAAGTATGAATAGAACTTTTCTACTTTAGCAAGTCTTTTTACTTTAGCATATGATGAGGACATTGACCACTGATACAATGTTTTGTTTATTCTTTCACCCTCTTGACAGGGTAGAAATTTGGATACCAACTTATTTTCTTGTCTTTGTTATTGCAGCTGACTATGAACGTAACCAGGAGGAGGAACGTGAGAGCAGGATGGGTGTGTCCAGCACTGGCAGCAGCAATAAACGGAAGCGTGAAAGTAGCGGTGGCTCACATTCCAAAAGCAAGAGCTCTAAACATAAGTCTCCAAGCAAACACAGTTCCTCTTCAAGACATAGCTCATCTAAGCATTCAACTCCTCCTAAGAAGAAGAAGAAGAAGTAATAATGATTTGGATACCGTTGAAGAGACAGAAAATGAGAGAGAACAGCAAAAAATTGTTTGGGTGGGGAAAATTGCAGGTGGTTAAAAACTTCAGGGAAGAAAATAGTTCAGTTAAAAAAAAATTAAGTTTCATAAAAAAAATGAACTTTTGATAAGACAGCAGTAAATAAATGCAGAATACCTGGAGAATTCAAAGAAAAAATAAAATGAATAAAAAAAAAAAAAAATCACTTTCCTTTGTTCATCTCTTAAAAAAAAAAAACAAAAAAAATTATATACAAACGACGAATTTGGGATAAGACGGGAGACAACTAAGAAAGAGTTGTCTGTCTTGGCCAGTCAGTTTTGATTGGTTCTATATTTGTAAAGAAATGATTGAACATTCATATATGGCCGGACAGTTAAACGGACACAAAAAGTAAGTTAGAAACAATTATTCTGGACATGTATGGTTTATTTTATTTTTTCCCATATGCACTTCACCATAGAAATATTGAAGGCAAATGATTGAGACTTAAAACACATGTTTTACAAGTTGTATTGACTGACACCTTAAAAAAAAAAAATCACACTCTAAACAAAACTGACTGATTACTTTTAGGATTCTACTCTTCTCAATGAGAAGGGTCCCTATTTTTTTTTTTCTCCATTCTATCATAAAATATTGAGGGTGGGAACATGTTTTTTTTTTTTTTTTTTTTTTTTTTTTCCCCTCAAGGATTTACATTTATGTTTTAAGTTAGAAAAAATAAATAATAATAAAAATGACATCATGTAGAAAGATAAGATAATGAAGTGTTTTTTTTTTTCTTTCTTTTTTTTTCTTTTTTTTCTTTTTTTTCTTCTTTCCTTTTTTTCCCCCCTCCCTTCTGTTGTTAGTAGCTCCTGAATATCAAGGCATTGTTAGAAGCTAAAAGTTTGGGGAACTTAGTTTCTTTAAAAGAAAGAATAAGAAATAATTATTTTTTGGTGAAGAGATTTCTGGAACATTTGAAACATGGGCAATGTTTGACAGATGAACACATTGATTAAGCTGTTCAAATTCTTTTTGTCTTGGGTTTCACTGAAAAGTATGACAGATTTCTGGAGACCCAAGGTGAATGTAAATGTTATTTAGAAATCTTTGTAGACAAAATCAATTTGATCTAGTGTGTGCATGCATGCATTTTTAATTATATCTACCCCACCAGTCCCTATTACTCTCAATTTCTATTATTTGCTTATTGATATATATTTGTCTAAGTGTTGAGAGGTTCTTTTCTCTTCAGAGTACATATACAGAAGACACCTCTTCTTCCGGCCTTTTTCTTTATCAAGGGCTTATTTTTTATGGCTGAATTTTGGTAGACAGTTTTTTTTTTTTTTTTTAATTTTATAATCATGATTGTGACAAGTGATTTTAAGATAGAAAAAATTAAATGCCGGAAGTACATAATCTTAACCAATAATGAAATATACATTACTTATGTTGTGAGTGTAAGTCTCTATTCATTGTATTTGAAATAAATTGCAAAATATGAATTAGCTATTCTAACATTTTAAACATTATATTAATTTAGCATAAAAATAAATTAAACTTAGATTAAAATAATACCTGGTATATTATATTTTAGAGTGGATTTTGAGAAAAAAAGATAGCTGCTTTCCTAAGTAAGATGTCATTAAGCTTCTCAATGATTTTTTCTGTTCCCCTTCTCTCTTAAAGTAGGGTGAATTGTATACCAATGCAAGGTTCATAAAGTGACTCTGAAAAATAGATGGGAAGATTTGAAATGCTAATTTAAATTTTCAGTTCTCTATACAACAAAGAAATTTGATTTTTATGTATTAAAGTTATTTTTATTTTATTTTTTTTTTTATTCATCAAACCAGATAGCTTCTGTAACTGAACTCTTAAGCACTTCACATCCATTTCTCTTTTGTGTGCATATTTTCTCTCTTCATATACATCATCTTCAGATGGTTTAATGTTCACATTTTTATCCCCATTATGATTTAGGGTTAAATTTACGATTTATTGCATACTCTGACTTTTGTTAATCATAAAAAAAGTTGACTTTTCAAGCATTTGAGAAAAATTGTTTTTTATTGGCTTGTAAAAGTGGTGGGGGGGGGAAACATCACCGATATTCGGCTATATTTCCTAATATTTCAAATGATATTTTTTTTTCTTGAGACCATTGATTCAGTTATGTGAATTGTGGAGGAGGAAACTCTAGTCTTAAGTCAGACGAATTTTCAAGAAGGTATAAAATATATTGTCCAGATTTTTTTAAAGGAAGGATTGTCATTAATTTTTGACTACATATCCCTTTCCCACTTAGAATGTAAAATATCCAAAGAATTCTATGACTTAAGTGATAGGGATTGGAAATCTGTAATGATATTGATCAGAATGTAAAATGATCTGAACATTGTTATAAAATAAAAGGTGAATGGAAGATTAAAAATTAATAAAGCCATAATATTGAATGTACATCTCAAACTTATATGCCGATATAAATCAACAGAAAAGTTCTTAAATGTGGAATGGAAAATTAAAGCAATTTTCAGTAAAACTTGTAATTGGAAGATATTTTTCTTAGCTTAATCTTGTCTCTTCACATCCCATATTTTTTTCTATAAAAACAAGTTAGAATATTGTTTTGAAAATTTCTTTTACAAAAAAATAAAGTAAAATTGGGAATTATTTGGAAAAAAAAATTCATTGACTGCGTTTTACTGTGTGTATGCCTCTGTTTGACAGACCTACTACCAACCAATCCACTCGCCCACCATATGCATTTCATGTATCTATTATATTTGTATACATGCATGCAACATTGTACATTGAATTTGTACATACATACATACACAAATAAAAGTCCCCAAAATAGAAGTCTTTGTATATTGCATTTCTCCAACAATATTTGTGTGAATTGCCATTAATGTTTGCACTGTAGTCTTTCTTGGATGTCACTTCTTGAGTAATGTGGTGATGTTGAACAGTTGTCATTCCATATCTGTCTATATTTCTGAGATGTATTGTAATTATTTATATTGTTTGGACTGTTGTCTTCATCTTTGTTGCCATATTCACAACGTTTTGGCCATTATACTCTCTGGCCTTCTTCAGGTGATTGGAATTTCGAACTGGACCCTTTATTTCAGCCACTAGGGTAGATTGTTCTAGTTCCACATGCCATGTCTCTTTTGGATGTCTGTTATCTCCCTTTAACGCAACTTTCCAAGTTTTTGTTCACCATTTCAGTAGCGAGGTATTGAACTTAGAACTCTTTGGGTAAAGTCAGTGGATCCAACCAATACCATGTTGTGAATATGGCAACAAAGATGAGGACAACTGTCTGAGTGATATAAATAGTGTAAATAACTGCTGGTATGTATTCAAATCAGTAGTTAAATTTTTCTAATAGTAAGACATGAAAAATATCAATGGTCTTGATCTTGAATCAAAAGGTTTTGGAGAAATTAAAGTAAAGTCCTTAAAACTTAAAAAAAATATTTGTATCTCATTGTATACTTGAATGTGATCCTCCTTTTATTTGCATCAATGTATCTTTGGGATCCATTAAAATAGTTCCTTCCAGTTCATCATTATTGTAGAAAATAATATGGCCATGAAAAAGAGACTTAACTTTTTACACCAAAATGTGTACATTAAAATGGGCCTGCAAATTGAACTTGCCATTATATACTACCTCACTTACTGAATTCATTTTATCTGCTGGGCCATGTGTACTTGAGAACATCCGTGAACAAAATAAAGGGTTCAGTTTGAAATTCCAATCACCTGAAGAAGGCTGGAGCGTACAACGGCCGAAACGTCATGAATAAGTGGACAATGTAAATGGATGTCATTCCTTTATGTCCTGCATTCTTTACAGCTGATAAACCTCATTATATGAATGAGAATATCAAATATTGTGCATCAAAGAAAAGATGTCTTCAACAGTTCTTGGAAACTGAAGGCCAGAGAGTACAACAGTCAAGACACTGAAAAACAGGCAGAAAAGTTGAAGCTCGTCTGACTGAATCAATGTGTAAAATCTTATGTCATATGTGTCTGCCTATGTTTATTAAACAAGAAAATAGTGTATGCCAAAAAATTTCATCAACGTGTTTTCAACCCTCACGGACAAAGATACGTCAAAAATATTTGTAGGTAATCAATTACTTGATGAGACACTTGGTTGGTTTTTGTCATTTATCATCATTAAAACATAATGTAAAGGATTTTTCTCTTCCTGGTAGGAATTTTAAAAATATCTTTATCAACCTTTTTCTCTTTTCAGTACTTAATTCTGGTTTTCCCCAAAGTTTTAATTTTTTTTTTTTTTTTTTTACCAAGATTAGAGAGTGGGAATTTTGAATGCAAGCAAACATTCTACAACTTTGAGCTATTGCCTTACAAAGCATATTTGATGGCATATAAAACTCCAATTTATGTTGTAATAGTATGAAGTATTACAAAATTAAGCTAGGATCAAATTGTAGTACTCAAACATTTGATCCTGTGGACCAGCAAGGTTTGAAAGTGATTAAAGACAAGTTTTGGCATATTTTTTTTCATATGAAAGATAGTTCAAGGTCCATGCTCACCATAATTACTCTTTCAAAAAAGTTATGAGACTCGACAAAAAAAAAAACAACATTCATTGAAGGCTACTAGTTTAGTGAACTGCGCCCTCCCCGCCAAAAAAAACAATCTTCCATTGTTCTATCATGGCTGTTGACATTCTGATTTTCTCCAGTCACAATAACTGTTTACTATCAATGAGGGTCCATGCAAGGTCATACCAGACCCCAAGAGAACGTTATACAAAATACCAGAGATGAAAGCTTATTAGAACAAATTCGGAGCCTTTTGCTCTTTTTTTTCTTCTTCCCTTCATGTATAAGGATGTAGTTTCGAAAATTATCTTCCATTCTTCAGCAAACTTTTTTTTTTTTTTTTTTTTTACATCTTGCTTTTTAATCTTTCCTTGCCGTCCCCCTTTTTTTCCTCTATATATCTTATTTTTCTGATTATATCTTTACTTTTTTTCGTTGGAGCAAAGAAAGATAAAACTAATCAGAATATTAAGAACATTGGCCAAAGATCTGAAGCAACGAAACTAACGCCTGTAAGATGAACGAAGAAGTACGTAAACATTTAATAGTAATATTTGCTAATGAACGTAGAGCTATATTTGACGAACTGATGACTAGAGTAGAGGTTGTGCTCTTAGAAATAGTCAAACAATACGGCTTAGAACAGGGCTGAGGTGTAGTAATATTTTGGATCTGTACTGTAGGCAAGAATATAGTTTTCTCTAAAAAAAAAAAAAAAAATGGTGTAATTTGTTTACATAATAAAACTTAACCCTCGCCCCCAGAAAGCTAATAATAAATACTGATTTTGTAATTCGTAAATCTCACGATATATTGCTTATATTATGAACATTTTACCAGCATCGGTTGTTTAATAACATCAATTTTTATTGTGAAAAAATGACTTGTATAATAAAATCTGAATTTATTACGTTTAACTTCATTTGACTCAAGACAAGTGTGCGAGTTCACTACAGTAGTAATTCTCTGCCAGATGAACTTGTTAACGGTTGCTCAAAGGTGAGACATTTAAATTTTAATCAAATTTAAGCAACTGTCAACCGTTTCCTGGTCCTAATTTAACAAACGAACGTCATTCATCCTTCTAAACGATGTTTTTCCCCGCCTAAACTTTGTCTAATTAAAAAAAAGGACTCTTTGATTCACATCCACAAGCTAAGCTTGCAATATCTCGTCATCTTTAACGACATAGGCTTTTCAGAGTTTGAGCATTGTTTGGAATCATTATTTCAGAGATGTTATTTATTATGCATCTTATAGATTCTGTTGCTGTTAACTTTGCCAATAAAGATCGAAGAAAATACAGTATATCTTGCGATAGCAAGGGAGTTTTTGAGAAAGAAAATAATGAATTTTTAGTTGTTTGCAGTTCTGTAGCTTCTCGTCAAGACTCATTGTGCAATTTTTCTCAAAATGTGGGACATACTGGAAATAGTCGATATTTTTGTCATATTTTACAATGATACCGATAGTGAAGTGGGGCATTTTTTCTAACGTAAATTTTTTTCTCGTAGAATTTCACTGAAAAGGAAAACCTTTTACAGGTACTGCAATTCTACAAAGCTGTTTTGTTGACACCCCTGTATAGTGCTTAATATTGGATCATCTACTGCCATTCAACACTTCTATCAGTACTGTTTTTATGCCATTCTCAACGTGCATTGGAGCGACTTTTTTACTAACAAGATTGCAAAACTTAACAAGCATGGAAGACAGGATTCTCAAAGATTTTCCAAAAGTGGATGGGGCTTAAAACGATCAACCAACAACAGCAAAGAGATAATAATTCTTGTCCAGCTTCTTCAAAGACACTCACATGGTCTCCTTTGTGAATGTTTCTCACCGAGGAAATCATAATCAAATTGCATCCATAGAAAATTTCTCTATAATCCAAATGTGTCTTCTGTTGACTATACATAAATGGAGAACGCTTTCCAAAAAAGTTCTGCCCAACCTTTGTGTTTAACCCTTTATCTTGCAATTGGATTGGCAAGAGAAGGAAATCCAATACGAAGTGTGCTAAATGATGTTGTATATTTCCTGTGTCTAAGAGCTTGGTGCAAGTATAAAGCTCTAAAAGTTAAACATGCAAATAAGCCACAGAAAACGTCAAAAAGATGCTTCGAAAAAAAAATGCACAACAAAACCAATGAAAAAGAAATGAACGGAAACGAGGTAATGTTTGTGACAAGTGTAAAAAATCGGATGAATGAAATGCAATATATGTAGAGAAAAGTCAAGTAAAAACGGTATTAACACCTAAAAGGAAGAGGATAAGTTTACAATAGGCTACAAAATTAATAATGAAGTTTGGATGAAATTGATATTCAACGATGAATCGTAAATCCGCATTGGACAATGTGAAGATTAACTTTTGTCTAATGCAGTTCCATTGAAATATATAAAGATGATTTGCCTGAAGAAAGCAAGTAAATTTATTCATCTATCATGTGACGTTGCACGTCACGTAAGTGTCCAAGCGATATGACAATATTTACCACAACAATCAATGCACAAGTATACATTGAAATGTTGGGTACTCTCATTTCATCGATAAAAAAAAATAGATTTACACGTAGTTATTAGGTGAAGTTTGGTCCGACAGTTTCATTCTATCATATTGACTCTATGTAATTAATATTAATTACTGAATTAAGTGCAGTGACGGGGAAAGAGATTATGCTGAAAAATAATGTGTAAAATATTTTTCATTAGAAAGAAAGATTAAGAGAGGCGGAAGAGAATAACTAAATGAATAAACGAAAGAAACATTAAAACTAAAAGAAATAGGAGAGCAGAAAAGTGTAAAAAGTAAAAAAGAGGAATGAAAAAAGAAAAATATGCTCAGATTAGAATGAGAAAATAGGAATGAAAGAAATAAAATGGCCTCACGAAAAAGCGAGTACATCAACATGAGTTTTTTTCAAATGAAAAAAAGAGAAAGTGAGATTCATGACATATCAGAATGTATTAGTGAGAAGGAACATGACGTATTTAGAGTGAGTCATAGTATGTACACGCATTATTATGTCACTTCACAAGATGTGTACCTGAACACACACACACACACACACACACACACACACACACACACACACAAATAATCACTTCGAGTGCCCGTAGTTTTGAAATTGACATGAACTCACACCGGATATATGATTTACACGTGATATTTTCAGTAGCGAATTTCTCATCTTATCGCTTCATGTTTCAAGCTTTTATTGTCTCCTTTATTTATCGATTTTGGCGCCGTTGTTGATGCACTTTCATATTGTAAACTCTCCACTCTCTTTCTCTTTCTAAGCAGTTCCTTATTTCTTTTTTTCTTTCTTCCCAGATTACCTGAGTTATCACCCTCGATCTTGTCCATTGCAGCAAGTGTGTGTCTCAAATTCTTATTCTTATGCTTGGGCCTCTTATCAACAGAAACGACAAATATAAAATTCAGTATGTTAGTAAATAATATGAATGCAAACCCCAAATGACGAGATATCTTGTGAGAAACGTGTTTTTGCCAAGAGCTGATGACGAGATATATAACTAGTTTTGTTGTACCGAAAATAATGCAGTTTAATTTTCCGCCTTAGTAGCCAACTGTCTACGTATTTTCTAGAGGTGAGAATATTTATGCATTATGTTGATAAGTAAAGGAAGTTTGCGATATTTTTGAAAGTTCTGATTTTCGTACACTGGATAGAAGGCGACAAAAGCAATGACTTCGTTAGTATTTTGCGAATATGACGTCAAATCTTGACATGGATAGCATATAGGAGCCTTAAGAGAGAAAAATTTTACTATTAACCCCCCCCCCCAAGAAACGTTTAGGGAAAAAAATCTGCCATACTCAGACTTTAAGTATATTCGAATAAAGTATTATTAGCTTCTGTGACTAGATTTGAAATCTGGCTTGAAGTTAAAATACACTTATATTTTATTCTCACCTAACTTCTCTCTTTCACGCGCGCGCGCTCACACACACACACACACACACACAAGTTAGAGTAAGAAGTTATTTTTATTTTTGTCGGCTTTTTATGATCAGAAAAATGCTATCTGCTTTGGGGACGAGTTTTCTTCTGCGTGAGTTTGTAGTAAAACCTCTGCATATTATCTTACAAAATATTACTTGGTAGTAGTGTGGACGTTGTATATTTTTAGGAATTATCTCTAAAAATCGATTAGTCACAGTGATAACACTTTTTTCTGTAAAATGTAAGTGACATTTAGATTTAGATTATAAGGCCCGGTCTATTTGTCTAACATTCGAATAACTTTGAAATCTAAGAGTAATAACGAAATTTTAGGGGTTAATGTAGCAGTGTTATCTCCGTAACTCTCAACAATTCATCAGAATTGAAAGAATTTATAATCTTCACTTGTTTGAAGACACTGATAAATTATCCTTCCAGGTTGCCGCCATTTTGGAATTTTCAAGGTTTCTTAAACAAGTAGATAAATTAGAGATTTAATGAATTTAATTACAGGATGTTGAAGGTACTTTAATCTCCAAGACGAATCACTATCCAGTAAAATTTTGGTAAAACGAAAGCAATGGTACACCCTCCCCCCCAAAAAAACATAAAAAGAACATGCAAAACCGAGTGGGTAATTAAAGACTTTTACTCTGGCTTTATATAAATGAAAAATTGTTTCATTCTTTTCTTTTATTCCATACGTTTTCCTTTTTTTCTTTTTAGTATTTCGTCTCTCTTTTTTTTTTTTTTTTTATCCATTTCGTTTCTTTAGTTATTCTTTTAGAATTTTTCTTCCTTATTTTTTATTCTTCTTCATTGATCTTTCTTTTACTCTTTCCTTTTGTTTTTTCTTTTCTTTTTTCTTTGTCTTTTTCTCATTATTCCTTCGTTTCTCATCTTTCTTTCTTTGATTTAAGAATTTAAATAACGACACTATATTGATTCTCTGTCGGACTGAGCACAAGGTTTAAATCTTTGCACTCAAATTTCAGATAGTTTTCATGTACTCTTCTGGCTTACAGGACAATTGCAGTTTATCTTGAAAAACAAGACACAAAATGAAAAGAATCATTCAAGTTCTTATGAGGAATTCAAGTCGGATAAAGACTTATGGGAAGGAAGGCTGCCAGTGTCCAGTGGGTAAACACAGACACTGTTTTACTAATCCCGTAAATGATTGGTTCGAAACTTAGTTATTGTGAGTTATTTGGAAAACGCATCAATTCATAAATTGTTGTTGCGAACTTACCAATTACTGATGGATATTTTGTGACGATAGAATGTATAATATGTAATAATAGAAATAGTGAATACATCGAAATTTCTTCAAACAAGATTACAAGAATGAATATATAATTACGTACATTTAATAACTCATTTTATTATTTGAGGAAGAATAAAAAAAGGGTGACTTAATGTACGCATTTAGAAATGTGCTTGTACGTACGTTTATATAAATTTCATATGAAAGATTGTGAGAGATATTTTGAGAAGAGCTTTGTTGCTTAGCTAGAATTATAAGATATACTTGTGTATAGTCATATAGGCTTAGAGCAGGGGTCCTCAAACAGTGTGATTTTAGGGTTTCGGAAATTGGAACCACAGATTGGCAGACTCAAACTGTTAGTTTTCTAGTATTACATTGATAATTATCTTTGACGTTTTCTTGTTTTTTATTTACAGACTTTGGAGCCCATCATGAATATCAGAAAAGAGGGTAAGATTCGTCATATATTCAATATGGATTCACATTCATCATCATTAATGGAAGAGAAAAGTTTCAATGTGTCATTTGTCGTAAAGCTTTGTTAAATGATTTGATGAAACCGACAAAGTTGAAGCAAAATTTACAGAATGTACATTCTCAACACAAGGACAGAAACATTTTTGAAACTTATGAAAATGGTCTCAAAAGGATGAAACTGGATTCAACAGGGACATTCCAAGGAACAAACCAAAGATTACTGAAGACTCTTAGCTCGTAGCATTGGAGATAGCAAAGCAGAAAAACATACAATTGGAGAAACTTTGATCAAACCTTGCTCTCTCAAAATGGTGGAAATTGTGTTGGGAAATGGACTGGGGAAAAAAACCTTGTCGCGTATTCACTATTAGACAGTATTTTCAAAGGAGGATCAGTAATATGGCCACAGACAGCAAGGATGAAGCTGTGCAGGAGATCAAATCTGCAGCATTTAGCCTTTTTTTCCAATTCAACTCGATAAATTAACTGATGTATCATCGTATTCTCAGTTGATGGCATTTGCAATGTATGTGCACTCAGGTTAATTTAAAGGAAGAATTTCTCTTTTGTTCTTTTCTTGAAACAATTAGCGAGGAAGCTGACATTTTGCAAAAGGTTTCATTTTTCCTTTAATCAGAAAATATTTTGTGTGAAAATATATGTGGGTGCTGTACAGATGGAGCACCAACTATATTTTGGGAAAAATCAGGATTTCAAGTTTGTGTGAAAAAGCGAACTCCAAAAGTGAAAGGCATTCATTGTATGATCCATCATCAGGCACTGACCTCAAAAACACTTCCAGTTCCACTGGGGAAAGTTTACTTCTTTTCCACACAAATGTTCGAATCTTGTCAACAAGAAATATAACTGAGCGAATATTTGAGCTTAGATATGACTTTAGATTATTTTTAGAAGTTCAGGGTAAGATGGGATTTTTTGTCTGGCTAGATGATAAGGAATGGATCATCAAGCACCTTGCCTATTTGGTTGATATTTGAGTAACTGAATAAACTGAACCTTCAGATGCAAAGAAGGAATACACGTAACATAGAATTTGTGGATGTCTTGAAAGGTTTCATGAGCAAGCTTGAAAATTGGAAGAGAAAGGCCAATATAAAAAATGTTGCAATTTTTGAAAAGCCATCATCCGTTCTTTACGTTGGTGGTGAAGAACAAGTGCTTCCAGTATTGGCAAAAATGAGATTTTGCTGCATCTGACAACACTGGAATTTTTCCTGAACTCAATGATGATGAGTTGGATTTAGTTCGAAATCGATTCAAATTGTCAGTTGAAAAAGTTCCTGATGATTGTCAAGATGAATTTCTGGAGCTGAAAACCGAGTATCGCTTTTCTAGGCCACAAAAATCTCCTGAGTCGACCAAGCATAGAAATGAAGACTATATGGGAACCAGTAATAAGAAGTGCCAGAGAAAAGCGATAATAACAACAAAAATTGCAATATGAGTTCTGGTAAAAAAAACATGCAATGATAACAGCAAAAATTGCAATATGAGCATTGGCAAAAAATGAGCTGAAGGCATTAGGTTTATAATACCCAGAAATTCATACACAGATGTCCTCAATCTTGGCACAGTGGATAAAAGCGTTAGTTAGATCCAGGACCCAAAAAGTGTGAGTTCAATACGCGGTTAAGGCAGTGGAGAACTTTTAGAGGGAAATTAACAGGAAATAACTGATAACTGACATCCATTAAACATGGCACCCCAATGAGCGAAATAAATATTGCGACAATAGTCCGAATAATATAAATAATTGGTCAGGTTGCTTGTGGGATGCCAAGTTGTGGTAGCGACTAAGGGAAGATCGGAAGCCTTGTAACCACCGTAGAGCCATCAATGGATTATGTAAGGCGTTGAGGAGGTGTGTTTTTCTCCTGTAGGGGGCAGCCAAGAGCAGAAGGAGATGGAGATGTTGCAAGCTGAGTTTTGACACAGAGGCATATGAGCAATAACAATAACTATAGGAAATTAATGGTGGTAAAAATTGTGAAGATCTGTTCAAATGAATCTGGCAAAATGCAAGTAAAAAAGCAATTAATTGATTGTTTGAATAAATAGGGTGATAATGAGCCATTTGTGTTGTGTCACTGTGAGTGGAAGAAGAGTGTAGATCATAGCTTATTTAACGTGTAAAAATTAAGTGGTAATGACATGGCTCAGTTATGGAATTGTTTGACGCTGTGGCATGGGGCTTTTGGCATGTATTGTGTGTTTTTGGGACCAGTATATTTGTTTTCCAGTGAATTGTATGTAAATTCCGTGTAGTCTCAAGCGAAGTGGCAAGAAATTTTGTTCTCCTCAGGAATACTGAATTGCAGAGGTGGTAGCTGCTGACCATTGTAATTTTAGAGGTCAAAGTTCACTGTTAGAGTGACTTGTATCCAGACTGGCGTCTGAGGTGTTGACCTTGGGTTACGGAAGCTAGTAACCAAGAACGGAGAAAGGATTGTCCGGTATTTTGTTTAAAAAAATGTTTGTGAAACGTGAAAAAACTAGTCAAAATTTTGTTGTTTATGTTCATTCTTTTTAAGGATTAATGAGGAAATCGTTTTTGATTGGTTAAAACTATCGCGGAAATGTTAGAGAGATAGAAAGTGATATCAGTGAGTTAGGTTTTTATACCTCATACACAGTAGACGTGGTTATTTCGTGTCTCGAGGAACTTGCTCCCCAGTCGGGGTGGGGTGATAGAGCGACCTCCACTGGTTAGTTAACGTGCTTAATAAAATAGATAAGTTTAAAATCACTTTTCTTACTGTTCTCTTTCATCTCTGGACGCCAAAAACATTTCAATACACGGCCGGGAGTAGACAAGCGAGTGAAGATACAACGTGATGGAATCGGCCTCATCAGCCAAAAGACCTCCCCAGAACGAAGGGGGCTATACAATACCACTGACTTGGAGCATTTGTATATTGAGTATTTTCTGTGTCGTGTTCAAATGCGACATGTGGGTTGCAGAGAAAAGAAACGCGACTTCTCTCTAAGGCATCCGGTGATTAAATATATATATGTGTGTGTGTGTGTGTGTGTGTGTGTGTGTGTGTGTGAGAGAGAGAGAGAGAGAGAGAGACTTTTGCGCCATTTTCTTGATATACTGCTTTTGGTAGTGCCATCTAGCGGTTGTTAGAAGAAATTCTTTGGAAGATAAGTGATTTAATTCCACCATAAGTACGGTTGGTTTAAAAGCAGTGTAGATTCTAATCTAGAATATGTTTTAACTTGTTATATTACTATAAACACGACTGTTTTGAGGAATGCCTTATCAAGTTAAAGAGTTAATATTTGTTTTGCCATGATGTAATAATTATGGCTGCTTCGAAGGCTGAGTGTTGTGGCTCATCAGGATTTTGTTTTGTCACAATGATAGAATCAGAGTTTGAATCACGAGTGTGAGACTTATCAAGAAATGATTTTTGCCTTGGTATAAACACAGTTTTTTCGTGCACTCGGAGTATCCTACGCTACAGATGTGTCTGAAATTCTAATCCGTTAATTTTCTCCATATCTATTGAAAGTGCAGTGTTTCCGTCTGATTTTCCGTCCTACAAATGACTGATTTCGCTACAAATACATTCGTGATTCTATAAAAAATGGAAAACAAAAATAAATATGGTCCAACGAAAAAGATTTAACAATCTTTTGTTATAGTCAGTATTTAACCACAAGCACATTTATGTCTTTTTCTGCAGCCAGGTCATTGTAAAATGTTAAACTTAATTTAGTAATACACATTTAACTAATAGCGCACATCTCATAACTTTAAATTATTTCTTAAACAAATATTAAATATGAATTAATATATTAATGTAAGTGTCCGATGGGGGAAGGAGCAAACAATTGGTATGAGGAGGTTCGTTGAACTTCGGGTTGAATATGTGAAATAGTATTTCATGTTTCTTGGTCATTCTTCTTGGCCGTATCTCGCCAGTCGGTCCTTGATCAATTCCTACGCTGGTCAATACTGCCGCTGGTCATTGAAGTGGATGTCCCAGTCCGTGCTCTGCTCCGTCAGGTTGTGCTTTTTGATCTCAGAGCCGGCAAAGACTGAATTGTCGTCAGCAATCGTAGCTTTGGTTCGAACTACAGCGAAGCTATGTCACAAGGAAAAAAATAAACAATGTTTTTTGCTGACGAAATAAAAGA